AGTGAAGGCAGATAACGTGAAGTTATTCCTTCTAAAGGTCAGGTGGCTCTCATGCAATTACTGAGTAATGAGCCAAATCTAGAAAATGCCAAAATCTTCAGAAAATACAAGAGGACAGAGGATATTATTGCATTATTACTATACATTCTCCATGAACCTGTACAGTGTAAACACAATATTACACTGAGCAGCTTCCTAATAGCATCTCAATTGTTCATACTTGAGATGCACAATTTACCACCAAGAGCTTCGGAATCACTTGAGGAATTGAATCCCACCCGAGGCAAGGCTTACTTGATTGACAGACAGGACTGTAGCTGAAACTACTTGCAAGGAGTCGCCTCTGGAAGGTCGACTGAAAGTAAGGTTGGGTTGGCGTTACCACCTTCAAAACTCTGCTTTACAAACAAACGGGTGGTGCCACAGACATTTATTCTACTATTCCTACTGCAGGCAGTTGATATGACTTATATAGATAAAACAACAAAAGCAAGCAAACTAAGAAACCGAACCAAGTGGCATCCATTCAGGCAACACACAACAAGCAGTGCTGTCCATGGTACTGAAATAGTTGCTTGTCCTATATTGCAAGTTTAATTTAAGTTGAGACACAGGCTCATGTCACCAAAGATTATTCGGATGAGGGACAGTCCTCACAAACATCATGCTCACCAGGTTCAGGTCCAGGTGATGTTGGAGGCTTTTTCCTCCCTGGAGCTGAGACGATCACTAAGACCTGTTGGAGGTGCTGATGAGCTGAAGTGGAGGCAGTGTTATTGTCTTTTTTTAGCTCCAGGATTGTTGCCTTTTTGCCATCCTAACCATCCATAAAATATTATTTTATTGAATAAATGACTAAGCCTCAAGATGCTGGGACAGGCTCCAGCGACCCCCCACTGGGATAAGCTGTAGTAAATGGATGGATGGATAATGACTAAGCTTCAGTCCACTGAAATATAACACTTGTCATCAATGAAGACAAGTTCAGGTGACTACTTAAATTAACCATGTACTGATAGCCAGCAGAGTCCTCCTAAGCTCCTCTGCAATTAATCATGACTCTAAATTTTCTAATGAATCACAGCAGAGCTCTCTTACATTACATGAAGTTAAATGTTTTGACTTATTTGGTTGATTGCCATAAAATCTGATCCACAAATTCATGTTCCATCCTCAGATGATTTGTACTGAATTTGGTTTATCCTCCAATTTTTTCATTTACAACCATATTGAGAGAAAGTTGTGTTTCCAAAATGTACTTTCTGTGAAGAGTATAACTGAGGAAGAGTCTGTTTTATCAGGGATTACTCCATCAGTGTGGCTTCAGCCATGCTTCTACCTGTTTTCTGACCCTTTTTTTGCTGCTGTTGGAGATTTTCTTGCCTGCTCTAACCCTATAACCCCCCATCACAGTGGAAAGTTCATTACAAATTGTCTTCATTTTTTGTTTTTGTGGATAAATGTCGAACCTATCTGGGTCCTCTCTCTTTGTGAACCACATTGGACAGTCTGCACCACATGAGAACCTGAAAGTCAAAGGTGTTTTTTTTTAATATCTCCTAATTGCAAGCAAGTACGATCTTAATCTATTAAGTACTATCTTGTCTTAATGGCATAATGGCTTGTAATTGGTTTTAAGGGCTTACAGTGGATGCATCAGAGGAACACTTCAACATTTGGGTCAATTTCAAGTGTTTCTTTGACCCTCTTACCAAGCAAAGCATTAATATTTCGGCTTTACCTCAGCAGAAAGAATAGGTTATCCATTAATCACAAGTTTGAACCCTGTGGCTATTGCACCAGCTCTGTACAAGCTCTGCCTTAAAGGTGCAGTGTGTAGAATTTAGCTGCATTAAGGAAACCATCTTTCATTTCCATATGTCCACAGAAGCACAGAATGGACAAACTAGTAACATATGCATTTGTGAAGTTCCTTACACACCGAGAACGACGCAAATACACGACCTGAAATTACGAAATATTGTGAGGCGAATTTTGACGCGCCCACTATGCACATCAAGCATGATGCGATTTTGCGACTTTCTGGGGGGAAAAAAGACGCGTCCCAGGTGGAAGCGAGAAGACTGACACAACAGCAGACTGACTGTTTTTCAGTTCTGATTAGACACTAGTGTTGAGATGTCTGTCTGTCATGATAGCATGTACTGACTCGGGGCCAGTACCAGATAAGCACAATAAACTATAATCCATAAACATAAGGTAAAAACCGAGACCTAATGGTGCTGTGACAGCAACGCGACTGAGTTTGAGACAGTAAAAATACATATGGTATGTTGTATCTGAACAGATTAGCTAACAAGCTAAAGTTACTTAGCACAGATGAAAGTTAAAACAAAGATGTTTAGCAAACTGTTAAAGCACACAAACCATCATCATATGAGAAATCCAACGCTATGACTCTCCACAAGTTGTCCTTCAGGTTGTTATCTTTGTAATGTTTGTGTTTTTTATCAAAAATCACTCTGTTCTCTGACACGTAAACAATCAGCCGGTCGGCCATGTTGGATATATTGGTGAATCTGACGTCGCAACAACACAAAATCTGATTGGCCAGAAGTGGACACACAGTACGCGAAACTTCGAGAAGAAAGTTCAACCATGATACGAAAAAATTAATGCTGCAATATCACAGGACAGGAAAACATCACTGATGTGAACACTTGTATTGACAGGATACGGGTTCGAAAAAAATATTGACGTCCGAAAAAAACGCTCCCGGTATGTAAGGACCTTAAGTCAGTGTTGAATGTGCACCGATAAAGAATGGTTGTTGTTATGTGCAAAATACCTTGTACATTTCTGCAAACCACAATCTGCAGGTATTACAAGAACATGGCTCTGTAGAAGGAGAGGACTGCCTGCAATCTGGACTTTAGATACCTCAAAATGGGTTGTTGAAATCCTACAAGGACAACATTTTCCTTTTAAATAACTTTTATTATTTCCACATTCATCATGTTCTTTGCACTATTTTCAGTTATGATAAGGTTTCACAGGATTTGAAAACTATCAAGATCTTCTGTTATTAGTATTTCAAGACTATCCCAAACTTTTGCTGAACTGTGATTGATTAACTTACACTGCAACTTGTCATATGCTGTATGAAGAGAAGTACTTTTAGACACATGCAGAGACCGCATCAATACACCTTGCCATTTAAAAATTCAATATTAGCAGAGTAGGTGACAGTCTGGTGCCTCTGCAGACATAACTGACTGTATAACATGACCTGTATTATTCCTCTTATGTTGTTAATGAGGGAAAGTGAAAGTCGACATAAAGCAAACTGCAACAAATTACTGTAACAAGCAACTGATTTATGATCTGTGTCTATTTCTGGATATCCTTTAAGCACTTCATCACTTTTATCTCTGAATATATTGAGTATCTGAATCTTGAACTCTCATATCGAACTTTGTCTCTCTCTGTCTGTCTCTCTCTTATTATCCACATTTCTTGCAGAAAGCTGTGGCATCAGCGCACAGAATATCGTCTTTCACTTTGGGACTTCCTGTAAATCGTGACACCTCCAGCACAGATGTGACGATAAGACAGCCAGTCGGTGGACCTGCCATGAAAGCAGAGCTATTTCTATATTAACATGCTATTGATTAAAACCAAACAGTTCTACACGACCTTCTTGGAAACAGGTCTCACAGCTCTGCCTCTATCCAGAGGATGGAGCTCAAACAACAGCATCAACCGGGACTTTTATTCAAGTCATAAGGATGCAAATCCTGCTCACCGTGACGGAGTCTTCTATAAAGGTCTGCTCTGAAACTAAAAAACTAAATAAAGCTTATTCTGAGATGAAGATTCGGGTGGTAATGAACTGCTGTCTCTGACTCTGTCATTGGCATACTGTCGGGTCTTATTGCTATTCTCTTTGCACAAACTTGCTGCAGGGCAGATGAAGTAAATGCACAGAAAGCCCTCCTTGAATGAAGAACTACTGATCTTTGTTAAAACACAATTAAAAAGGTTCAAGTCAAAGTAGAGATATTGATTTGTCCTCTCTAAAAAGTGTCCACACTTTAAAAGTAGCCCTTTCAAGGACATTAAGCTCAACCTTCCTGCTGCTTCTTTGAAAAATGGGCAAAACATCATAATTTAGAGACTATAAAGAACAAAAAACAACTTACTGTAATTAAATTAACATTGGATGTACATTTCTGTCTTGATTCTGCTTGATTTAATCTGCATTATTAGCTGTTTCAATTTCATGTTTGATTCACCTCTATTTTTCTCTATTGATTTAAAATAAAAGTCAAAATACAACCTCAGTGGGTGCCTGGATATCGTAATTATAACTGCTGGAATTGTAATTTGACATCGCACCCAACTGGTCAATGTTTTTTTTTTTTTAATTCGTTTATTTGACAGGGACAGTACATCATCAAGCATTGTTGCATCTAATTAAAGAGCAACCGATGCTAATTTGCAGTCCTTGTCTCTGGTTAGACAGCAGGAAATACAGCACATAATACATAAACCACTAAATAAAAACTAGCTTTATAGCAGGTGTAGACAGGCAATAATATGTTTGCATAAAAAACAAGAAGAAAGCAGACAAAACAAGCAGTTTCTTCTACGCACAAAAACCCAGACTTACACATATTTATGTATCTATGTGAATGACACACACATAGACACACATACATGACATAATATACATGTAGATAGATAGATAGATAGATAGATAAACTCCACTGGCTGCTCCCCTCGTAGAAACTCCTTTACATGAGTATTTTTCAATCATTTCACAATCGTAAATAACATTAATTTATATACATAAGACAGTTGACTAACACTATAACCTATTGATTTAAAGATAATCTAATCAAACAACTTAAAATATATCCTTTAGTTTCAGCTGTTGGTATGCTAATCAGCCTTCTTGAGGGTCGAATGCAACGAGGTCGACCAAAAGCCGTGACAATATTAGTCGACGATTCATTAAAACGGTTTCCGGTGTTGAATCGATGAGGAGTGAGACATCTTACATCAGCACTATCTTTGTTGAAGTTGGCGCGTGGAAACGTCACCAGGTAATCAAAACGTAACAATTTAAATACCGTGGAGTGAGACATCTAGCTTTCTTACTATCTCTGCAGAGTGACGCTCATGGTAGCAATAGCAGCTACTTGTAAACACAACATGTTGTTGGATGGATGGAGGCCTATCCTGTCGTAAAATTAACACAGTCCAGACTCATCTCAGCTCAGGAGAGTTACCTTCAGCCTGGGGTCAGTGAGAACGTGCGTTTGAGGTGGAGGCACGTGACAGCTCCAAGGTCCACACTCAGAGTCACTGTGAGTTTAACATTTTTAACTTTATAAGTCTTTATCTTTTTCTCTTCCTCTCTTCTCTTTATCGAAAATGATTTCAATGTCATATTGACTTATCTACCATCAACATTTCCTAAAGTTTTGCCTCACTGAGCAGGTAGCCTTTGTTCACTTACTCTAATGCTAGTATTAGGATGAAGCAGGCTTGCTGTTTAACCATGAATTAAATGAAAAATAATCAGAATTTTCCTTGTAAATGTATTCAAATTCAACTTTATTCGTATGGCACTTCTCAGACAAAAAGATGCAGTTCAAAGTGCCTCACAGAGGATAAAAACAACAATAAAACCCAACCCTCTCACTCACACAAATAGACACACACCCACTCTCACTTACCCACACATGTGCACACAAGCACACACAAAGTGAGAATTTAAGATATATTGTTAAAGAGACATGGCCTGACCCCGAGACATTATGTGAGGAAAGAGGTACCTTTAGGAAACACTGGAGATACAAAGATAAAAATGGTAAAAAGAGAAAAACCTGATGGACTAAAACAAGAAAATATATTAAATGAGCAGATAGGCAAGAGCTCTTCACCATGTAAAAAGGGTAAAAGAAGAAAAACCGCTATGATGGGAATTAAGAAAAAGACAAAGAACAGAGATAATTCATAAATGACAAAAAAGAAACATCAAGTACTTCAATTAAAATGAACATTTGCAATAAGAGAAATATAAAAAGGCAGTAAGTGAAAAGCCTGGTTAAAAAGGTGAGTCTTGAGCCTCTTTTTAAAAACATCAACAGTCTCTGTGGCCCTGAGGCTCTGTGGCAGGCTGTTCCACAACTGGAGACCATAGAAACTGAAAGTTTGAACTTTGGGTAAGGTGAAAAGACATGTGCTCGAGGACCTCAGGGTCCGCAAGGGTTAATATGAGAGAAGTAAGTCAGATAAATAGGAGGGGTCAAGACCATTAATACATCTAAAAACTAATAAAAGAACCTTAAAATCAATTTTCCAGTAGACTTAACTAGCCTGACTTAAAACTGTAAGTGAACAGCACAGATTTAAGGTTAAAAGTGAGGGATAACGTAAAGAGCTGCCAGAGAAACCTGAATGCTTTCCTAAATTCTGTCACGATTCAAGGATGAGGTCAAAAAAACATTGAAAAACTAAATTAACAGGCCTTATTTTAAAACCATCTATAATATATACAGCAGTAGAAGTAAAGTGTGCCCACAGACAGTTGCTCTCTTTTTGTATCTGCCAACACAATCCTGGCATTGGCACAGGATTTCTTGAGAAACTAGAAATGTCAGCTTAATGCTTTTTTAATTCCCGTTAGAGACACCGTATATATTCATTATGTATAAACACCATTTGGCAAAGAATAACTCCAGCATTTCTCTGGTGGATAGCAGAAAAAGTAGGCTTTTCTACCCCCGGCATGTTCGGGCCCTTTGGGAGGAAACAGATAGTGGGAACAAATTAGTAAGAAAACACAGAAAAAGAAAGAAAACGTCGTCTTAATATGTCATCCCTCCAGCCTTACACTGTGACCTATTTGGACTGCAAACATAAAGTGGTGGCACTTTTGAAATATACAGAGTATGAATGAAATTGTTCCCACTAGTGTTGAAACCGTCCCAACTTTAGTGTGGAAGCTGTGAGGAAGATTATTAATGCAGCAAACATTAAAAAAAAAAACTCATTTTCATCTTAAAAATGATGCAAATGCTGTGGTTTTGAGGACTGCTCGGGGAGCTGTTTCACCTCTGGTCTTTGCATCATTGCAGTCAGCAGCAGGTGTTATGGTTGAGCTTAGCAGGGGGGGACTTTCTGCACACTGCGAAACCGTGTTGCAAGGCTTAGTTTAATAAATGCAATAAAGCAGACTCCCTGACTCATTTAGAGAGGATATTGGTTTATCGGCGTAACTTATTCCCTCTGCAAAACATTTGATCTTCTTAAAAGTTAACAAAGCGAACATGATCTCATCCAACTGGGCTGTTATTGATAGATTAAACATGACGCAGTGTTTCCAGATCAAAATATTTACCGTAAAATCTGCTAAATAAATCTGAGAGTCTATTTTTTCTGAGTATTTTGTTGTATTTTGCTGCAGCTTCACTGTGAGGGAAGCTGTAACATCATATTTTGCAGGACATGAGCTGAGCACAGTAAACTTCACATACGTTCAGAGACACCTCTTCTCTCCTTCTCGCTGTTTACACCGACGGCTCAAAACGAGCCAAACAGACCCTCAGGCCGCCGTGTCCCGCTGCTCCCTGATGTACAGTCCACGCCTGATTATGCGTCCTTATCCTGCGAATGTCTCGATCAGGAGTCGTGTCTTGAGGGTTTTTGATTATGCGTGCTTTGAGAGAACAGATGGTTCATCACAGGAGCCTCTGAGATGATCATGCAGATCTTCAGTCTGTCTTTCAGGTGAGAAGAGACTGCAGTGTTGTAGCTGTATGGGAACAAAAAACCTCGTGATCAAACAATCTCTTATATCACATTATCACAGACACAAGCTCTTGTCTTCCGTTCTCTGCTCTTTGTCATCATCTGTTCATGTTTTTTGGACTAATTAAAGTAAATAGGCTCGATGCAAATTTTGGAACAGATGTACGTTAATTCTGACTTTAAAACTAGTAATTGAGACCACTCTTCTTTAAAGTTCTGTTGATGTGTTATTGCACTTAAACTCTGAATAGGCTGAATCTACTATTACCAAAGTCATCCTGAGACTGGGACCTTTCATACGAAAGAATCTCGCCAAAAGTTTCTGCAGATCTTCAAAAGTTTTCCAATATTACAAGAGTACTGTCATGTAGAGCTGGGTGATATGGCCTCAAATCAATATCACGATGTATTAAGCAGTTCACCTCGATAACTATAAATGGACAATAACTACTCCACAAGCTGCTCAACCCCTCGCACATTAACTTCGTCTAAAGGTCCTTTCACACCGGGACCGTTTTTTTCGTGCGATCATTTCAGACCTTATTTTTTTCGAACCCGTATCCTGTCAATACAAGCGCTCACATCAGCGACGTTTTCCCGTCCTGCGATATTGTGGCATTTATTTTTTCGTATCAAGGTTGAATTTTCTAAAGTTTCGCATACTGTGTTTTCAATTCAGACCAATCAGATTGCGTGTTGTTGCGACGTCAGATTCACCGGTATATTCAACATGGCCGACCAGCTTATTGTTTACGTGTCGGAGAACAGAGTGCTTTATGATGAAAAACACAAACATTACAAAGATAACGACAACTTATGGAGAGTCATAGCGTCGGATTTCTCATATGACGATGGTTTGTGTGCTTTAACAGTTTGCTAAACGTCTTTGTTTTAACTTTCATCTGTGCTAAGTAACTTTAGCTCGTAAGCTAACGTGTTCAGATATCAACATATCAAATAACCACCTTAAAAGCCCGGTCTCCCCGGGTTTTAAAACGGGTCTTCGGCACCATTAGGGTGTTCTGGCCTGACGACCGAAGGGTGCGCCCTGGGGAGTAGGGGCACAAAAAATCAGTGATATATTGGGTGGCCTGACCATGCAGCGCCCGGAAAGTCAGAACTAAAATTTTGAAATGAATACAGAAATTGACCGGTAGCCAATAAAGACATGGGTGATGTGAGCAGATTTGGGCGTGAGCAACTTTGACTTGGACTGAACTTTAAAATCCAAAATGATCTCATCATTCCTGACAGAGTTCTCTCGGCTGATTTGGCTGCACAAAACAACAGACTAAATTTGCTTCAACATGGTGACCAAGAAACAACCTCCACTTCCACTCAAGACACGTACAGCATTTTTTATGGTTCAAATTTAACATACCGTCTTTTAGCTCTCTTCTGCTGTGAATCAAAACTGAATGGAATGACAGAGCTGAGCTGTGTTTCATCACATTGATGGAAAACGGGTGAGATGCTTGACCTCTACGGCGTTCATTTTATTCCGCTCAATCATAAAAATAATCGTCCACCAGCTCACCATGGTTTGCAACACTCGTCTGTGCTTTTCTCTCCAGTTAAAGATTCTGAAAGAAGTGATTTTCAGAAAAAGACATCAATAATCTTCTCTTCACTTCAAGTGTAAAGCATTTTATCATCCTGTAAACATGAATCAGGGATGTATGATGAGTGCATTAGCTGCCATTATTGTCCTTATTTATCAGTGAATTTTCAGTTTTTGCTGCCAGTGTCTTGTTAAAGCACATGAAACTGTTTCATTTGCAGACCCTGCCATGATAATGAAATGTAATAGATGGGTCGGCTAACTCGGAGACGGTGGGACTGATTGATCGATTTCGAGCTGCTTTACTCAGACTGTGAGGGATGGCCTGGATGATAAAATGAAAGTTGAGTAATGATAACAAATAAAGAGACAAGATGTTGAACAAAGTCAAACTATAAAACTGAAATCTGTGTTTTGGGAATAATAAATTGAGACTTTATGCAACTAGAGCTCATAAATCAAAAAGACTTAATGTTTGAAATGATGAAAGTTTCAGCAATGAAACAGTTGTTGTCGGATAAGTACAAGGATGTGCAGGTTTTTACACGCAAACCGGAGAAAAGAGAGATATTTTAAGAGGACGCAGAGACGGTTGGCGGAAAAACTTGTGTCAACCTTTTGTTAGGAGCCAAATCAGCTCGATTAAGCAGTCACAGTCCTTTTATTTCAGCTGTGAGTGAGAATTTGTTCAAACTATTAAGAAAGGTTAAGTCTTGTAGTAACTTCATCTTTGGCTCACCACAAAAAGCCAGCTCTCTTTTTCTCTGATTTACATTTACACATGCCCGGCTATTTTCATAAACAGACATTTCGCCCTCTCTGTTTCAAAAAAAAAAACCTGCATGAACACCAGCACATTTTCAGAAATGTTTTCGTTTACACTAACCCGTGTATATATGCGGTCAAGAACATATCAAACATGTGGGTGGCAGTGAAGCGAGAAGCTCAAGCCCATGTTAGCCAATCAGAAACCCACATAGCAGCAACATTAACCTCTTTAATCCAAAATTTTTCCCTGCAAAATAAGTGCACGCATTTCATCCCGTAGACCTCCTTAAGACATAATATATATGATTTTTGTCATTTCATGTTGGTTTTGTCAGTGAAAAATGAGGTTATATACTCAGCAACAATTGTTGCCAGTGGGAAACGGCATAGTCGAAATCTACACAATTTCTTTAATTTGACCTATTTACACCATAGACCATGTATAGAATGGACAGTGTCTGCCTCCTCGCTGGATGAAGCCACTCCAAGAACAGCACCCCCTGGTGACGGGCTGCAGTATATAATAAGCAGTAAACATAAACTGTCCAGTAGGGTTGCAAAGGGCGGAAAATTTCTGGTAAATTTCCAGAAACTTTCCATGGGAAGTTAACAACGTCCCTCCTTTCTTTCCTGCGCACAATCTGCTTTCGGCACATCCAATGCATGTGCATCTTATTTTGTATATTTAGGTTTATTTTATCAACACTCACTCTCATCTTAGTTTTAAAGTTGCTGGGTGTAAAATCTGAAAATTCAACTATAGTCCTGAATACTTGGCTTCAAAGAAAAACATGCAAATTAATAAAATTATATTCCATTCAGTTCGGTTTACTGTGTTTAACTTGTTGAGTCCTGAGTGCAGACTCTGTTGAAAATAGACTCGGTGCGTCTTAAGTGGAGTGAGGAGAAGAGAAGGTCCCCTCCATAATTCTGTCAATGCTTCAGCCGTGTTCGTAAAATATGAAGGAATTTAAGATTTAATGGTGAAAATATTTCAACATTACTCCTGTTTGAGAGATTTCCTATTAAAGATCAGGGGTATTACCGTTCCTCCACCTGAAGTAGTGACTCGAGTGTTTTTGTTTTTGGTTCCAGAGACCACCATCATGTTTATTCATGCCTCCTTCGGTGAGACTATTGTCTGCAGGTCGCCCCTCTGTCTGGTAAATACGTGACGCCTCCAAAATCATCCACGCAGGCACAGGTCTTGATTCACCACCCTCATTAATAGTCGAAAGCAGTGGCACCATCTAATTATGAAGCTCATCCATCAACAGTAACAAGGGCTGTCATCGATATTTAGTTGGGCATAAAAGCCGGCACGCTCTGCTTTATATGCTGAGCGAGACGCCACAAAGAATTTGCAAGTTCCCAATCTTGACACTAATAGCTTTCCATAATTTAATGAATGATGTATTAAACCGAGGAACGTGAAGAACCGCGAGGAACGAGCCGGGAGATACAAACAAAAGTCACTGCCTGTAATTTACTTGAGAAACTCTTGACCTAAGAGGAGGTAGGAGGGAGGGAAGGAGGCGGCGCGGCGTCACCTCTCCGCCCTTCGCCGGGGTGAGCGGGGACTCGGGTGTTAACGTGTTTTTTTCTGTGGCGTGCTGTCATTGAGATTCAAAGGCTGGCTCTGTCTCCTGCTAATTAACACCTCTTAATTATAATGAGTTGACTGATCAGCCATGCATATGAGTGGAAAGAGAAGGGACCTCGGATAACAGTTGATGCTATCAGTCATTGCTTTTGAACCGTAAAGCACAACAGTTACACAGCTGGATCTATAATGAGCATTGTGACCGAGTACGTGGACCTTTTTCCTCTGCGTATCCTCTCATAATGACCCATAAAATAAAGATTCACTGTTTTTAGACCGGAAGAAGGATGAGTCATGCTGAGTTGTGTGATTGATCCCCACAATAAGACTCATAACTTTATTTAAAGCAGCTCCTCCTCCTGCTGTTTCAGCCACATGTTCCTTTGAGTTTTGTTATTACCAGAAATAAAGATTTGTGTTTGCTTCTTTGCTCTCTCGGGTGGCGAGAAATTATGCACCGCCAACACGCGTGCATTGATATTCCTCCTTGCAGGGCTGCAATTCTTTCCTCTAATGAAGCCATTATTTTGCCGGTATTAAATTTGGTGGTGTGAGGTTAATGGCTTCATTAGGCAACAAATCGCCATCCGGGGCCTGTGTAATGTACTTTGCCTGTCCTGTCTTGGCTATATTTCATTGTTTGCCATCTACGAAAGTATTAAATTAGAGGGAAACAGATTAGCCAGGGCTAACAACATGGAATGCTTTTATTGCAGAATGCAATTCAGTGCAGCAATTTATAATAACAAGTGGCTCCATGCTGATGATTTAGCACCCTTTGGGCAGGGGCCAGCACTGATCTGTGTCTGATGTTTTGGAGACAGAGACGTGGAGAAACAGAACAAAGAGGAAGAAGGAGAGGATGACTCTTTGTCCTCGAGGGGATCATGACAGGAGTCAGAATGTGTCTCTGAGGAGATCCAGAAGTGTAATAAACAAACACAGAGCAGAACAGGCTGAAAATTTGTTAGGATACCCGTAAGGATGCCTAGCCCATGTTCACACTTGAAAGAATGGAAGGTCCACACAAATGATCATTTTGACAAGCTTTACTGGTTGCAGATCTGGGTTACAGCTTCATCGTGCCACAAGTGTAACAAAGGCTGGTCTGAGACTGTTCAAGTATGTTTAGTTGTCCACATTTCCAAACATTCTGCTTGTATTTTGTTGACCTGAAGGAGAGTCCATGTAGGGTAATAACAAAGCACAACATATTTTTGGAGCCTGAGTGATGTTGAACATGGGTACAAGGTCCTTGTTGAGGATGGTTGTTGGAGGCCCATGGCTCCAGAAATCCAGCACTGAAGTATTCAAGGTATTTGAGTGACACAGCTCCACTACCTTAAAGGCTGACATGAATTGCTAAAGAAAATCACCTCAACAATACCACTGAAAGATGAGCAGATGTCTTTTGTAGTGTTATGTCGTTCATGAACGATTCGTTCAAAAGAAAAGAAAAGAACTGCTGTGTGAACGACGTGAATGGAATCACTCAAAGTCCTGATTCATTCCTTTCTCAGAGCGTGGCGTGCTGGTCTCGAGTGGAACTGCTGCTTTTGACTTTTTGGCAAACGACACACAGCTAGCCAGGACGGGCGGAGTCTTGTGATTTGCTCACACCTCCGAACGACTTGAGGCAGGCAGAGGAGGGACGGGCATTCACAAACTGCCGAGCACCGGTTCATTCACTTTGAGCCACTCCGCGATATAAAAGCATGACTACTCGCACTTATTTAGTGGGCGTGCTGCTTGCTGCTGTGTTGTTTCACTCGCGTCGCAATGCGAACGTTGGCGGCACAGGGGAGTGATTCTTCCTTCACGACTTGGCGAATGAACGACATGTGTCACTCAGTGAATGACGCTGTGTCTTCAGCAGCAGGGGAGGGGAGGGGCTCGTTCAATGAAGGAACACCCGATCAGCGCCACTGTGTCACTCACTTGTGTACTGCACCCAGCAGGACGGGACTCTGAAGCACTGACTGATTCGGTGAACAAATCTTTTGAACGAATCATTTTAATGAACTGATTCCAAAGATTCAGTAGAGTCAAAAGAACTGTTCTCCCCATCACTCGTCTTTTGCCAACAAGAGGATGGCTGCTGTGGGAATATGTTCTACATCTCTACTTGAACTTTTGTTTGTCATACTTCATGGTTATGTTAAGGTCGCCATCTCTGTCCTGGGATGCTCCCTGGCTCCTCTGAAGGTGGTAGGGAGAAAGGGGAATGATGGCTGAGCTATTATACCTGATGGAGAACGTGTCCCTCACTCATGCAGAGCGCTGAGCAGCCCCCCAGTGTGAGCTGCTTCACCAGCAGTGTGTGAAAGACAGATACTGCAGTCCCCTGTTTCCTGCTGCTGTCAGACTTTACAATGAACTCCGGTCCCTGCAGTGGCATCTTTCTACTGCTCTGCCTAAACTCAGGACACTGAATATTCTCCACTTTAGGGATTAATAAAGAGTGATCTTATCATGTGAAAAAAGGCACAAAATTAATGTGAAAGTTTATCTAAATCTCATTAATGTGTCGCAGCTTTATCATGAGCCATAATGACTGTCTACAGAGAGATAAGAGTGTGTACTGATGTCGTGTTTACAACTTTGTAAAGTGGTTTAAAAAAAAGAAAATGCTGCTTTTACGAAGTTTATCAAAGTGCTGCATTGATAACCAAGTTATCAATACCAAAAAAAGTTTATAATGAGATGTAGGGGTGTCCCGATACAACTTTTTACCAATATTGATCTAATATTGGCACAAACTTGCAAAGTTTGGACTTCTAAGTCTTTTTCAGACTTAAACGAAAAATACTGCCACACAGCCGACATCACACCGACTCCTTGCTACTTTGTTTGTACCTTAGTACACACTGTTGTGATCCTGAGGGCTCTGCATGCTAGATCCAGGCACTGCTAGCTAGAGGTGCCAGAGTGGAGTCTGGAGTGGACTGTTTGTATCGGAGTGCTGATATCTGAGATTTTAGATGCAGGCCGATATAATCCGATATTTGTTTTTTGGCTGATATCGATAGCCGATATCAATATCGTATAAGGACAGCCCTAGTTAGATGTTCATAAATGGTTCCTTCATTGCATGGTACAGTTTTGATCTGCAACTGTGTACGCAGCGACAATCTGTGTTTGGAGACGATGTTTTCTGGGTGTTGCATTGTTCTAATGCGGTGATTTCCACTACAGAGTCATGTCTGTTTTTAATGAACTGCTGCCCATGGGTTTGAAGATTAGGCCATCCAGTTTTAGCTATCAACTTTGCCCCTTTGTCTGAAAATCTTGACATATTAGTAATAATACAGATTTTATTTAAATCACACTTTATGTTTGAAATGAACCTCAAAGAACTAAAAGCACAAAAACAAGATGAAAACACAACAAGAGAGGATTTCAACATTTATAAGAAGATGTTTCGATCAAAGTGTTCGGGCACTTCCCATCAGACAGAGACTTTTGAAAGAGAAATCTTCTGAACAGTTTTTGAAGGATCTAGATATCTGTCACGCCCCCTAAGGGTTTGGGAGCAGTATCCCTCAGACCTCGCGCAGTGGAGCTAAAGGTCTGGTCCCCTACTGTGCAGAACCTCGTCTTGGGGTGTGCAGTTGCTGGATCAGAGGTTTCTTTGGGTGGTTTGAGGGGTTTACGGCTCTTTGAGTTAGATAGAGGCGTTGTTGTCGTCATGCTTGTTCTGTCAAGGGAGATAGGAGATCGTTGGTGCAGCAGCGTAATTCAGACCATTCCAGTGTTTTGTTGTTCCTGTACCAACTCTTTTTAAACCTGTTGCTGACATTAAAGTCAGAGTGTATATTTCATACATATATATTTCATAAGAGGAGTCTTTGAAGGACTTAATGGGTCAAATCTTTGAAGCTGCAGACAGTGTAAATACTAATAAAGTCTTTTTTCGTTTAAAATTAATACCCCGTGTCTTCGCCTCAACACCATAAAGAGCAATGCCTCACATTAGAGCACTGAGCTATCATTTCAAGTGTTTAAAAAAACAGTTACATAGCGGTTTTTGAGGCGTGTACACGAGCCTGTGATATGTCTCTCTTTTAAATAAGAGCTGTGGTGCATTCAAAATACAGGGTTTAGCAGTCGATGCCTCACAGCAGACTCTGTGTGCAGCCGTAATGTTTAATTCATGCCCGTGTGTGTTTGACTGATCCCATTCCAGGTGAGCCTGTGACAATCGGCTCCACTGAAATAGAGTTGGAGGGGTTTCTGTGGCAATAAAAATGATAATTAAATGACAGACAAGGGGCCACATTGAGCAAATAACTATGGAGCTGCTGGGGTGAGTCGAGTGCCAAACGCTGACAGCGGAGTCGAGCTTTCTTGAAGTTCTTGTGATGTTATGGGAAATTAAACCGGGCTATAAAATCAAGGAATCAGAGAAAAATAAATCCTTGTTAAAACACCTTGTGTGTGAAGCTGGTTGTGCCGTGCAACAAACAAGGCGGCCCTCAGAATTACCGGCAGTATTTTTCTGTCATAATAAACCCGTATCTGCTCGAATCTAGTGATCAAATCTTTACAGTGATATTAAAACGTCACTGTCAGTAAATACTGAGTCAGGAGGAGGACGCATAAAATATGCTCTGTTTATTGTGAGGTTTATCTCCTGGACCACATAGTAAAATGTTTAGTGTGTAGAAATGGATAAATTTAGCGATATCAAGCAGTCAGATTCCAGATTAAAAACTCTCACTGGCTCAGCTCTCCCGTCGGTGAGGTGACGGTGGCTTTTGAGGACAAGAAACTCCTGTGGCTCAGTGTGATTAAAACATACAGGAATCTATTTGAGACACATACAGATTTGACTCTTTCAGTCTTATTTTCTGCTTTTGAATCAGATCAGACTGATCAAGTCGAGACACAAGAGGAGGAGGAAGGACAGATGGAGCAACACAGACTTTAAAAATCAATGCAGCTGATTGACTTGAAAGAAAACAATACTTTCTGTTGATGTCAAAAATTACCTTCAATCTGTGTCTGATTGAGCCAAAACAGACCATCTTCCTCTTAATTTTGTTTTCGCATCACGACGATAGACACGCACTGCAGGTGTGGAAGTTTGAAGGAAACACTGTTTGATCCCGCAGGTTGTGCAGTCAGTGTGTGTGTGATAATACTGCCTTAAAATCTTTTACAGGTACCTGTGATGGCGGTAGTGTTGCGAATTATGTGCATGTTTACATTCTGCAGTCATGTGACGTACAGATGGAATCAACCTGCACAAATTAAAGTTACAGTATGAAGCTGTTTCCAAGTTTCTAAAGCTGCAGATTCTCCCCCATGTTTGATAGGTAAAACCATAGACTGCCTCCTGGCTGAGTGAAGCCACCGCCAGAACAGCACCCTCTGGTGACAGGCTGCAGTATAGGTCATAAATCCCGCCTCCTCCAGCAATTCCTATGAAGTTGTGGACAAACTTTAGAAACTTATTACACAGAATATACATTTTTCTCCCTCCTGGTTACGATGTTGACATGTAGTTTCTGTCAGACTGGTTTGTGCTCAAGTCCTCTTTTTTCTTTACAGCTCCATTTTTAAAAGTTATTAGGGTGTTCATGTTTTCTATGATTGACACTACAGCTTATGGGTGTACGAAGATTGTGTAGCTCACCCGGGGGATACTCAGTTTGAGCCGAGCATCATCACAGCGACTCGCCCTCCAAATGCGTATATTGTTACTGCGCAAGTGGAGAAATGGAGAAAATCTTGGAAATACTGACAGCAATTCGGCTTCAAATTTATTAGGGCTGCAGCTATCGATTATTTTAGTAATCGAGTACTCTATCGATTAATCTGTCGATTAATCGAGTAATCGGATAAGAAATGTTTTGCTCTCACTGTAATACTTTGCATTGAATCACGTTTGCCTCATTAAAAACCATCAGTAACACACAAAACTGAAATAGGCCAGGTCTTTCAAATGAATATTTTTACTGCATAAATCAGGAACCAAAAGTTTTACATTTTACCATGTAGTTCACATGAAACTACTGAAGGCAAGGTCTGCAGATGGTCTTTTAATTGCTATGGTAATGATCTTTGCAGTTTTCACTAAACCAGTCACAACTATTTCCAGGCTTTGGATCTAATTTTACTTGTTTAATTAATAGGCTGAAATAATATAATTCTTGGATACTAACATAATTTGACAAGCAAATGTACATTTATTCAATATATAAAAGTGTTACATTTTTATTTACATGTTGTTGTGTGTTGGTCATTTTGCAGCCCTCTGCTGCTCATCACACGCCTAGCAGGTGGTGTATAGCATTATCACCATGGATACACGGATGTTTGTGTGATTTTTTTCATCCACTGCCGCCCGGTTTGTGTCGTGTAGATGTTGATTATGAAAACACTTCGCAATAATTTGGAAACGTGAAGGGGGAGCTGCTGCTGCCCGGTGTTTACGGTAAATAGACGCAAACACCGACCAAGTGGACGCTTCGGTCTCCGAAAACGCCGAGACAAATTTACAAACAGCCACTATTTCAAACAACTGGGCTCATAATCGTGATGTAAACACTTACTTTCTCGCTAGAAAAAATATTATTGAATGAATTTATATAATTTGTCCGGTATGCAGTCGTTCTATGTAGCTTGTGGTAGGACTATTTAAATTTTCCCGGCGCTGCGTCCGGCCGGCACGAAATGCATTCTGGGGTATTTAGTATGTATGTGTGTAAACGCTCGGGCAGCCGCGGCATACTCAAATCATCTTTGAGTAGTCAGTAGGCAGTAGCTACTGCTTGAGTAGGTAAGTAGATAGTAGGCAGTATGCCATTTCGGACACAGCTTCTGTCTGTCCTCGTTTCCCTCCATGATTGAACCAAACGCGCGGCAGCGGAAGGAGCGGAAAGAGCACGCTTCTGCGCAACAGAAATAACCGTCCGTGTCAAACACCGTGCGCTGCACATGGTTCCGGATTTAAACGATTCCTCGAGGCATATAATTTGCCTCGAGGAATTTTATTAATCGAGTTACTCGAGTTACTCGAGTAATCGTTTCAGCCCTAAAATTTATACTATGGACAACTTAGTATATACAGTTTATGAAACAGGATTTTTATTATTTTTTTTTTTTTTGGCTTTTCAACTAAATTTCTGTCCATGATTAAACAGTAGAAATTGAATATCTAGGTATCATAGATTATTAAGGGTTGAGGGTGAACTGGTTCATCTTGGTCTGTGTGAACTGTCCAACCAACGCTATCCGGTCAGATGACTATAATGTTTACAATATATTGTTTCGAACAGTATTGGTGGCCACCCACTAAATACAAAAACTGTACTTGTGTGTTTGTTACTGGTTCGAGCAAAGGTAGAAAATAATGATGCAAGTCCCTCCATGGAAGAGGACCTGCTCCTTAGTGTCTTTTATAGTCAGATAATTAGTAATGAATAATATATTCCAAGTCTGTTATGCTAAATGGTGCAAAGTGCAAAATACTGTGTCTTTTAGGAGATAAAAAGAAATATTTGAAGCTTTTTACTGCGTAGAGTAAGATCTTATCCACTTCCCATTTTCCCATAGCTGAAAAAAAAAACCTTTGTGTGTAAAATATTATCTTTTAAAAGTTGAATTATTCACAAGAAATGAGGCTAATGTTATCAGAACCCCCCTAAAATCCTTTGCTTTTTTAAGAGCATTCATAAAACAGGATATTTCATATGTCATTTCTTAAACGTGGTCTTTATTTGTCTCTGATAGTGCTGCTATATTTTTCTTAATGCGTTCTCTATAAATAGAGCCGTGGTTGGGAAATTACCACCACTGCTGAGGGGGGAATAAAAGTTTAAGACCGGGATAATCTTTCTTTTTTCCCGCTTTAATAAATATCTGCTGTGCTAATATTTCAATTTATAATCACTGTGATACAGTAGCCAAAGAAACATGTATTTTTTCAGAGACTAGATCCAAAACAGTGACAGATGTGGAACTAATATTGAATTTCCCTCCAAGCACCCAAGCTTTATGATTACACAGAACAGCAGGAAAAACACAGAGGCCTACAAAAACCAGCTTTAGTCACACATAAACCTCTTTTGGGTGATGTTCCACCTAAAACAAGATTAAGAGTCTGTTGTATTTGATGGATAATTTCATTACAAGTGATTAGAGATTTGAGACATCCAAACCAGCGGTGGTCGAAATGAGTCTCAGCGTCGATACAGGATGCTAAAGCGACTCAAAACCAAGAGTTTGGTTTGTGGTTGTTACATGAGTTAGATTGAAACTAAAGTTGAATAAATCTCAATCATGAGGGATCAAAAACCAAACAAAAGAGCACTGATCCAAGAAAAGAAACATCATGTAAAATAGGAGACGGACAGACGTTTGATGTTTTTGAAGGAAATTAGAAGTGAAGTCTTCAGCAAACACTTCAGTCAAAAACCAAAACATGACTGAGCCTATCCCGCCATCTGCCACGTCTTATTCCCAAAAACGCTCCATCATTTTATTCCGTGTTTGGGAAGAGAAGACATATATGCGTCTCTGCTTTTACAGAGAGGCAACACAGAGACGTTTGTCAGCATCAACAGGTTTTAAACGGCTTTTATAACTCTCCTTTTTCATCTCTCAAACACTCCGAGGGCTTTACGCTATTCACCTCATGAGAGCACATTTTTGAAGCAATACGTTTACTTATTGTCCAAGGACACATCTTCATGCCATCCGAAGGAGCTGGATATTGAACTGCACAGCCTCTAATAATAAATAATAACTCCCCCTACCTTTTGAGCTGCTCCTGCTTGTACAATATCACCATGTTTGTGACTCTAAAGCTCCTTTCTGCTTAAAACTGTAGCAAACTGAGATGCACAAATACCTGAATTCATGATTTATTAGTGTACTCGGCAATCTGTGAATTGTGTAGCAACATATGGGCTTTCTGATAGCAAAGTTAAGGGCTGAAAATGTTCAAAATACTGTAAGCACTCGCATGGATGTCGGTGTTTGTGTCTGACTTTCTCAAAATCAGCCAGACCGTTAGATACATTTGTAAATCATCTGCTGCAGTGGAAACCCTCAAATCTGTTCTGGTTTTCTGGATGGTTTTTCAATAAAGGGTTTAAGTGGATCAGGCGCCCCCTGTTGGTTCTGCACTGACTATCAACAGTCTTGATACAACCCCACTTTAAAACTTTACCTGGTTACCACTGGTAACAGACTGAAATTAACATGAATGCATTTTCAAGCAAACTTACGACAGGAGCATGAGGGCCACATTGAGATAAAATTTTAGACCTCAGAATTACTTACGAGAATAAAGTCGTTAAGTAAACAAAGTCTTAAAGCTGCTTTTGTGGAGGAGGAAATAGCTAAACTGGTCAACTGCAGAGTTATCAGTGGGTGCAGCAGTGGGCCATTTGGAGGGTTTTTGTTGTTTCTCAAGAAACAATCCAACTGATGATCAATATTTGTGATTCAGAGGGAGTCGAGCTCTGACAAACACCATTGTGATGCCGGCACAACCTACACCTGCAGAGGCACCAACACCTTATGGCATATAGATTCATACGATCAACTAAAGCAATATTATATTGCTAAAAACGGCTGCATTGAGGGATTTAGCCTCTGCACGGCCATTTCCAGCCATTTCACCCTCCCCAAAAACAGCGATTCCCTACAAGTCCGCTTTTTTTTCTGTGGAAAAGATGAATTTCTTGCATATGTCCTGATACTTATGACAATGTGAAACTGAAACGCCAAAGGATTTAGTATCTCCTTGTTTGTGAAACCTAGCTACTGAAGTTCAATTCATCTAAATGCTCCACAGCGCTCATTTAAACAACTTAACAAGTTAGAATAGCTGTTAGCTACAACTGTATTCTCATAAGTAATTACTTAAATCCTACTTCATTCTCGTAAGTAATTCAGAGGTCTAAAATTTTGTCATTTCTTAATGTGGCCCTAATGCTCTGTCGTACAAACTAACCCACGTATAAAAAAATTAATTTTGTTACTTTTAAATGTCTGAAAATAATCGATAGCATCCCTTTTTATCCTTCTGCCATAGCAAATATTTATAATAGTGTATCATGTAACAGTTTAGGGTGAACCCTGACTTATACATGTACACAACAAGAGTTATGAAGACAAGTGGTGCCAAAATAAGAGAGTCCTATACAGGAGTTTTGGATTTTCTTTCCTTGAACACTCAAATGTTTCTTATAAATTTTCATTTTTGTTATCTTCATTTTGCTAGAAAACAGTGTAAACCTTTAACATTATAAATTTCTGATGGATCCTGTTAACAAAGCGCAGACTTCAGCCATAGATGTATTAGGAGAATTAGATTTTGAGTTCCGAAAACCTGCCAAATATAATCCAATATTAGTCGCTTAACCTCGCACACACATGCACAGATTTGTTCTTTTGCTAATTTCTTTTAATGAATGAACAAAAAGATAGATTTTTAGGTCACTGTGCACCATGTGAAAAGGTTCAAGGATCACTAACCCCTGCTCGTTCAGAAAAATAATCTCCATTTACTCCGTTTTTGAGCTAAAATGTAAACTCTCAGCGTCTCCATAAATGTTGTGAGAATCAGATTCTTAGAGTAATGTCACACTCTGCTGTCCTCTCAGCCAGAGATGGTAGAGTTTAGTCTTATGATTCTTGTCCTGGCTCACAATAATAATCTCCTCTGAGGCCGTGATTCGACTCGAGACCAGACATAACAGGGAAAAAGCCCAAATCGATGGCTAATGAATACCAATCAATCACCGGAGGGGAAGGTGGGAAAATGTGGCAACCGAGAGCGCTCTCCGGGTCTCTGGCATCTATTTGATGAATGCTTTGTCTCACAGTGCATGCTGACCGGGACTCCCATAATGCATTGCAGAACACTGTCTGGAGACTTAATTTTCTTCCAGCTCAATCCCCCAAACCCTCTCCATCCTCACGTAGCATTGCGTGATGATGCCTCCCGGCTGACCGAGGCAGTAATGTGACCGTTAATAGTGTTGCCATGGTGATTAATCACAAACCCTGGCAGAGTCAAACCTCTCGGTGCCAACTCAAACAAAAGATTGTAGATTTTTATGCCCTTGGTTTGACTCGCAATTACCTACAGCTTGTGCAATGACACAATCATTGTGCAATTCACATCATCATAAATCTGTTTTCATTCAGGCCACATAGATCCAGACTCTCCTCTTCAGATATTTCATGTCTCACTAGAGCCGATATGGATTTTTTGGGGCCGATTTTTAGGGGGGAAAAAAATCTGATTACTGATTAATCGGCCGATTTTTTACATTTTTATGAAGTTATAAAAAATGTATATATACTGTAGATATCTACAGTGTACTGTTTACTGTAGATATACTGTAGGCTACTGCTCTTCATGCCGACAGGAAGACCAACTGATCAAACTCTGACCAGAAAAGCGTTTTCAACTACCCCCCCTTACCGCAGCCGCCGATCGGTGCCTCTGCGTCTAAACTCACGTTACTCATTTCTGGTCTGGTCTCATCTGGAGACATGCAGCTGCCTCAGTAAGAGAAGTAGCTCGATCACGTTATGTGTACTGTTGTTTATTCTACCGTTACTGGCTCGGCTAACAGTGTAGCAAGGCTAATAGCAGGTGGCTAACTCTAACTTTAGCTTGCATATTACACGGTGCTTCACCGTTAACTCGGCGTGACGAGACCAGCACAGCGGGGAACATGCTTAAGTGGGTTGAACTTATTGTGTATTTCACAAACTGGTTTATTTACCGTTGAGGTGGACCACTCTTCTCCGTGCGTCCCTGAGCTGCCTGCTTCAGATCCGTCACTCTGCTGTGCTGTGAGGTAGTTATTGGATGAAGATTGGCATGAGGTCGCTGCGCCATCTACAGGATAAGTCGGGGAACTTTTCAAATGGCGGAACATTTTAGAAGTGAAACCGAATCTTATTCTCCGCATTTTATTTCTGTAATATTGGCGAAAATTGTCGAGTTTTGGCCGATTACCGATTATTCTCAAACGGGCTAAAATTGGCCGATTTAGACGGCTCGCCGATAAATCGGTCAGGCCTTATGTCGCACTATGACAGTAATGTACCGTATTTTTCGCACTATAAGGCGCACCTTCAATGAACGCATCTATTCGCGTCTATTTCCATACATAAGGCGCACTGGATTATAAAGCGCATTAAGCCAAACAAAACAGTTCGATAAGTCAAACTTTATGGTAACCCTTTCTTTTACGGTACACTTATTACCAGGTAATTAACAGGTAATTACCTAGTAACAACATGAAATTATCTGCAATTACATGATAACTACTAAGTCAATACTGTCTAGCTACCAGGTAGGTAACCTTCCATCATCATTCAAATTTGAAGCTGAATTGCAGTGGTGATTCCAGGATTTTCTCAGCTTCCTGGAACCACCACTTGCGCAGTAGCATTGTACGCATTCGGCGGGTGAGTCGCTGTGATAATGCTCGGCTCAAACAGCGTATCGCTACGCAATCTTTGCACGCCCATAGGCTGTATCAAGTGTCCATCATAGAAAATAAGAACCCCAAATAGCTTTTGAAAATGGAGCTGTACAAAATAAAGAAAAACCAGACAGTATTGACTTAGTAGTTATCATGTAATTACCAGATAATTTCATGTTGTTACTATGTAATTATCTGTTAATTACCTGGTAATACGTGTACCGTAAAAGAAAGGGTTACTAGCTTTATTTAACTCATTCAATAACTCCGTGAGGCTACGGTAGCTGCCGTGCTCCGACGAGCCAAAATGATTTCAAGTGCGCCTTATAGTGTGAAAAATACAGTAGGTGAAATTTCCCTCTTGATGGAAATGATATGAATATCTGATGGCAGCAGAACCAATATTTTGTTATTTTCTTAAATAAATGCATCTGGAGTTTAAGTTTATTTCTGATGCAAACTCTGTGAATTTTGTGTAAAAGCAGCTGAAGGTTTCGGTGTTTGGACTCCACAGCCTCGGCTCCTTTTTTTTTCTTCATTCAGATCAGAGGACAAACATTTCAGAGATGCTGCCTCTAAACTTCACTTCAGACAACCGTTATCAATAACGGCAGCACTTACTGTCAAAACAAGCTTCCTGGACTTATTTTGGGCGCTCACGGGAAATCTGTTTAAAGTATCTTTAGAGAAAAATTAAGTTTTAGCCTCGAGCACTTAAAATGGCCGAATATAGAATTATTGAAATTGTGAGCATAGATCTTAGCGAGTGGTCTTTATTGCCTTCCCTCGGCTTCTCAGAGGCCACAACAAGTGCACGCAAGCAAAGCCCGGATTAGTGGGTAATGGCTGGCATCAATATGACTGTAATGTCATTTGGTGATGCATCCTGGTCGTTACCAGGCCGGCAAAGAGTGGTCCCCAGCCCGCTGTAATGACCGGCATGTCAGGAAAACAAATGTTATTACGCAGCAGTATTAAATATAGCTGTTATTTCTGCGACAGAAGTGGGAGAAGAGAGCAGTCAGCTGATTTCTAATGCGTTTCCCTTCAGTCAGATGAAAACATACTGCTTACTGTGTGTCGGCGCAGAGATATTTCACTCACGTAAGAGAAGCAGTCGCTTTCTTTTGGAGTTTATTGGAGCAGGACAGATTCATTTTTTTTAGCTGTCATGGAAATGCGGCTGGATCTGATCCTTTTCTTGTATTTGTATTTTTTAAAATCTCAATAGCGTGTGCGTGGCAAATCCAAACAAAAAGCAGCCAACAAAACAAGAATAAAGACGTGACATTATTAGCTCCAGCTTTGTGTCTGCGTCCGGGGCGGCATCTGCAGATCTCAGAGCGCGGCGTGCACTTATTTTTATTTAAGCAGAAAGTATCTGCAACAAGAGTAAGGAGAGTCGTTTTAAGTACTGCGGAAAAGCATAATAAGCTGGTATTAGAATTTATTATACACAAGGGTGTAATGTTTTATAATGGTGCTTGAACTGCAAATTAGCCTCTCTGTTTTGGCTCTTTCTAATTTCACCCTTTTTACTGTGACTAATAATGAAATCGGCTGTTTTTATGTTTGTAAGAAATAAAAGTCTAGCCGGCACGTCTGGAGCCAAAACAAGAAGGCATACGTTCTGAAATAGCTGATAACAAAAGGATTTTATGATTAGAGAATAATATGCAGGCGGAGAAATAGAGTGCACCTTGTAATTTGAACATAATCCATGAGTTGTTTGTGTTTGTTTAAGAGCCAAAAGAAAGAGGGGGTGAAAAAAAAGCACAACACATCACACTGAGGAGGAAATGAATTAACATAAAGCTGAAATCTATAAACAGATACAGGCGTGTGTTGTTCTTGTTCCCCAAAGTTTCTCTGGATAAATTTGCTGAAAAGACAGCGTATCATTTGTATAGACATTCATTTGCACAGTTTTACAGTGCGTAGCGATGCACATACGGCACCGCGGCATAACAGGGCATCACCTAATGAGAATGGGAGGGAGGGGAAAAAAACGCAGGAGCTGCATCCAAAGGAAATAATGAGACAGCTAGGGATTGTTGGGGGAAGTCAGCCGACCGCTGTGGTCTGTATCTCGCCATCATTTCATCATATGCACCAAAGACTCTGGTGTATTCTCATTATTGCGCCCTTGTCCTGTGTGGATTTCACGTTCTGCCATAAAATGATGATACAGTAAATACTGTTTATATTCAAATGCAACTTCAGCCCGAACTATTGTGGCCGCGCAAACGAAGGAAAGTTTGAGGAACGGCACAAAAATTCAGTGATTCATTCCTCATAAAAAGGTTTTTATACTTTAGACGGAAGAGGTTATGACAGCGCAATATTTTATTCAAATAACTCAATATTCATAGATTCCGTTTTCTGTATTTCTGGACTAATGAGGCTTTTATTTGTCTCTTGTTGTTGTGAGTTGGTGGAGCACTCAGAAGCCCTCAGAAGGTCACGCCATGCCGCTGCTCGCTGCTGTCCTTCATTATGTTTGCCGCTTTTACCGCTTTTTAAAAACTTGTTATTAAAATGGACATCATCTCTCTGAGAGCACTGGAGGATTTAGTGTAATGAGGGAAATTGGCCTGCAGTGTCCTCCAGCTCAACTCATCCTCCATCAGTGCTGCTCGAGGTGTCTGCCTCTCTGCGTAATGAGAAATTTAGCAGCTGAGCAGGCGCTACGTCTCAATCTGCCCATCTCTGCACGGCGTATATTATGTCAATACGACTGTTGAAACAGGTGGAGGAACACGTCTTTTCCCATGTTGCATGTGCATGAAATACTGGAGTCGTGTGCTGCAGCCCAGATGAAAAACGCCGGAGGAAAGATCTTTAAAACTCGAATCAATCAAACGCGTTGATTTAAAAAAACGCACAAACTGTTATTTACAGCCTATAAATAGCAGGTGTAGGCGGACAGATGGTCACATGTGGGAGTTCTCTGGTGGATCTTATAACCAGCTGGATGTTGAAAGTTTTTCTCACTTGTGGAGTGAAGGGCAAACGTGTCTTTGTGTCTTCATGGTGTACTTTCACACCTGAAATAAACAGCTTTATTAGCACAAATTGGACTTAATGAAAAACAAACACGAGAAAAGAAAACAGTAGAAACAGTTTGTGAATGTTTTTCTAGAATAAAGTAGGAAAGAAGCGACACGATATTAAAAAGATCATGTTAATGAAACAACATATTATGACAGTCTATAAAAGGTTATCTATTAAAACACCTTACCTGAATTTCCACTGCATCCGGATGGGCGTCCGTCAATTCCTAACGGATTATAGACAGCGGGAATCTAGAGAACTCACAGGAACCCGCAGATTCACGTGCAATCGCGCAATAACAAGTTGTCTCTATAAAGACAGCCACAAAACCATATTAGCAGTAGATTGTGTCCTTCTAGAGGAGGAAATCCACTGTTACACTTAGGTGACCATGGATGTCACCCCCATGACATCCATGGTGTCATCTGGGTGACTAATGACATCTTTTATTTTGAAAAGAAGCTGGATGTTTTATTTTGTGTCTGTGCCCGACTTTCTTTCCAGCACGGGTTAATCTGTGCTGAATTTATCCAACATGCTCCAGCGTCCGGAAAAAATAGAACTCTTGCGATCAGCTGCAGCAATCCACAGCGGGACGGAAAGAATTCGGTAGAAATTAACATATTAACTTGAATGGTTTCGATCAGCTGCGATCAGCGGATACGGCCTTTTCCTAGCCGTTCCGGATGCGGTGGAAACTGGGGGTAACTCTAATAAAAACACATTAATCTTATCCCAATAAGTTATGTATGCAAATTCATTTCCAGCCATAAGGGCCTGTGTCCACTAGCAGCAAATTTACATTGTGCCCATTTTCTGCACAAGACAAATGCAGCTAAGTCAGCGAAAAACAAGAACTCACAGCGCTCTCGTGTGGAAACTATTCAACTTTTGAACACTGTCATGCTCCTCATTTTTACATCTTCATTACTAACCAATCACTGTCAAAAAGGGGGCGGGGCTTCTGGTGCCAATAGTTGAAGTCAAACTGATGAGAAGCTAACCACACTTCCTTTTTGAAGAGTAAATCTTCCAGGTCTGAGTTACAGAGCATTTTAAAAACAGACAAATCAATCAAAAAAAAGGACCACAGGATATTTTTAATAACCTTACATTGCTGAGAAGTGCTGCCAGTGCAAAAACTACTGGACACAGGCCCTTAATAGGTCATGCACAAGTATATCAGCCTAAATGTAAATGCTAATATGATAAGCACTGAGTATTTCACAGTTACCCATCATTTCCAAATGGAATGTACTCTGTCAAACCCAGAACTGAATCATTTTTCATCCTAAAGCCGACCCTGCCGTTTTATTTCCAGGGTTTTAATCAGGTTAGCTTAATAGAATAATAGCATCCATTGCCAAGCAGATGAGATGGAATTGCTGTACTCCCTTTCTGTATTGGTGCAATTATCTCTGAACTTGGTGCAGGCAGAAAAAAAAAGCTTTTTAAACACTGTTCCAACTTTTTCTTCCAATGCCCCCCATGGAAAACTGGTTCCCTTAGCAACTGCCGATGTTACGGGTCGTCCCTGACCACCTCCCTGCTTCAGACACACAGATGCCTCTCCTATCCCCAGTTAACAGCCGTTATATCCACGCACAGACACAGGGTTGGTGTCAACGTTTGTATCCAATCATCTGGGTCTGAATCTAGGTTAACTTAAAATCAATGCCAACCGTACTCCTTTATTAATGTACCTCCGAATTTACATAAAATCATAAGACATTAATCATAATGAAACACGTGCTCCCGAAAGTCCCACACCTCTCCAAAGTAATCCATCCTCATTTGAGTTTTTCCACTTAATAAAGATACAAGGTGATCACAGTGGGAGGTATTTCGCACGGTGACATCTTGAATACTTCGTTTGTGGCGTTTGCAGCGACTCAAGGCTGATTTACCCGCATTTCTTAACTGTTTTCTCTCTGAGGTGGAAAGTCAGGGTCTGCTGTGCCGAAGGAAGAGGCTTCAAAAGAGGAAGAAATAAGAAAGAGAAAAAAAGAAAAGATGCATCATTAAGATTTCTCTTTGCTGTCCTTGCAGCTAATTACATACAGTGGGAAACCTCTGAGGAGGATGAGGTGTTGCTTCATGTCAAAAACCTCGGTGGTCGTTTTTCTCCTCGCTCTTTGTTGATGATGTGGATAATGAGCCACCTGTCTTACAGGAGTCCTGCAATATTTCACTCAGTATTTCATCTGCCAGAGCGGGGAGAATAAAATGCTCGCTGCAGTGTGAAAGAACAGAAAAGAGCGGCTGATCCTTGCCTCAGTCGCTTCACCTGCACAGCACATTTCTATCTTCCTTTTTGCAAATTGTCTGCAGCGTATTTTTCTTATCTCCAGACTTTCTCGTAAAGAACCGAAGCTGTAATCTGAGACGTTTTTCAATTATAAACCATTATCCTATGTGTCTGCTTGGTTGAGTTTTATTTAAGACAGTAACACAGCACATGCGTTTCCTTGTCTTTATGCTCCGCTGTGTCAGTCACACTCAACCTTTCGTCTTCTCATTACTTGGCTGGTTAATGACATTTCGCCCCATAGCAACCAAAGGTAAAAGAAATGAGCAAGTATTGGCTCAAGTGCGCTATTTAAAGCAGGGTATACACCAGGCCTCCCAGCTGTTACACTCAATTGATCACCTACTTAAAGTTAATGTGCAGAATCTACATGCTACACGGGAAACACAATACAGCTAATTAAACAAAGGAGATAAACAGTTAAAGAAAAATCAAGCTTAGTGTTGTTAAAGAACCACATAAAGAGTCATGAATAATTAATGAATGTTTTGAAGTTTAATTTATAAGACACACGGTGTACAATTGGTCCAAACCGGCTGATTTTTATACCCAAGTGAGCAGCTGTGAGAGACAGGAGAGAGGAGTGCCTGAGGATTTGGTGAAAGATAAGTAAGATGGTGCAAGTCCATGCAAGACCTTAGCAGCTAAAAGAGGGACCTTAAAAACAGCTGTGATGTGCACAAAACAGTGAAGAGAGGCCAATAATTTAAATTCTATTTATTTATTTATTCGCTTTTTTGTTAAGATTCTGACTGCAGTTCTACTTCACTGTCGTATAACTAAGAAGATGAGAGAAAATGAAAACACAAATACATGGATTTAGGTTTCTAAATACTTTATTGACCAAAATATGCATTTTTTATTCACTACATGTTGATCAATATTTAAAGGGATATTCCTGCATAAAATTAATTTAGGGTCAAACACACCACAACACCAAGTTAGACACCCCCTCTAGAGATGAATGCTGCCGACCGCTTGCTTCTCTAGTTATACCAATTTTAGTAACGACCGCATGATAGCAATACACAGCGGTCCATGGAACTATACACAAACCTCAACCAAAACGCCACTCTATAGCCACAAATAATGTTCAGAACATCACCTAACTTCATCAACAGGACATATAGGGTCATATTTTTGACTTCGCCTTATTTCTTTAGCAAAAGACTAAACACAACTCACCTACTCTCTTCCAGCAGCCGCTTGTTTGTAGTGAGACCTCAGGCCAGTCTATTGCAGACTGCAGTGGGGTGACGCAGCTCAAGGAAGATTATTTATGATCATTTCTTCATGGAAATGCAATCAGACCGAGGCGCTAAGGCATCTGTTGTGCAAAATGATTAATATGATGATTATTACTTCAAGGAAATGATGAAGTAATGATCATAAATGTTCTGTCTTGAACTGCGTCACCCCGCAGCAGTCTGTGATGGACTGGCCAGAGGTCTTGCTTCAAACAAGCGGCTGCTGGAAGAGAGTAGGTGAGTTGTGTTTAGTCTCTTTGCTAAAGAAATTAGGCAAAGCTAAAAAGATGTTTGGTGGCTGGTGCTGTGGCTGGGACCCTATATGTCCTGTTGATGGAGTTAGGTGCTGTTCTGAGCATTATTTGTGGCCGCTGTGTATTGCTATCCTGCGCTCGTGACTAAAGTTGGTATAACTAGAGAAGCAAGCGGTCGGCAACATTCATCTCTATGACAATGGTGGACAGAAGCCAACTGTCACTCACCGCTTCAGTGTCAGAGGGTTTAAAGATGAAGAGACAAGGCGACCAGAGTGATGTAGGACAAAAGAAGGACCACTTATTTGACAACTGAGGCAGCATCCTGATGCACTTTCATAGTAAAGTTGTTGTTGCAAATGCTGCAGAGACATAAATCAACTGTCAAACTCAAAAAATTCAGTGTCACTTGATGTAATGTCTCAGACAGTGAGTGTGATACCTGAAAGATGGAAGAAAAGCACAGCAATGACCAGACCTGCTATTCACCCGATGGAATGAAGGTTATTATGGTATTAAAGCACAGATAACATACTGTAAGTGCTTCATTTAGACATGTGACCATATACAGGGTCTACAAAACTTAAAAATTTAAGTTACAGTGGCACAAGAGTTTTTAGGATTCATCCTCTGGTGATGATGAATGGATGTGCCAATTTACATGCCAATCCATCCAATGACTTTTGAGATTCTTGCAGATAGTTACGAACAACTCAGCACATGCATGATTTTCCAGTTGTATTGCCATTTTGCCACAGCGAACTGTCATGCATGAGAATTTCCTTCAGTGCAGCACAGTTTAATAACCAAAAAGCCCCTGTTGTCATGCACACATATTCCTCTTCCAGCCCTCACAGTAGAAGTGTGTATTCGGGACTGAAAGCACTGGCCCCTGCTATGCGAAATGCAAATGTGAACTTTGCAGAGACCAACTTTGATGCGGGGTCTCCTTGGTTAGCGGAGAAAGAACAAAAGGACCCGCTGAAGTGCCTCCGTGTCTGATGAAGTGCCTATTTATGGTTTGGGTGGGTGGATAACAAGAATGTTGTGGCGACTGTACCAGCAGATGACACAAAGGTGGTCATGCTGACTCTTTGGGTCGGTGCGTTTCTCTGTGAGTGTGGCGGAGACGTCTCTGATTTTCTTAAAGCAAGAAAAGTTGAGACCTACGAGCGAAGCAAAACCAGGAGATAGGATGTGGAGGTTGATGGGCTGCTGAGTTTATTGAATGCATACTATGACTAAAACTGGACCTGTAAACATATTAGGGCTGAAACAATTCGGGCCAAAAATGAAAGCCTGATTTTCTTCTCCGAAACGCCATGTTTGTTGAGCGCTTCCACAGGAAGGGGGAGCCTACGGTGGCCTGGAGGCGAGAGACATGATCGAGAGTGTTATGTCCTGATAGGATAGGGGTGTTCAGGACTAACAAAAATAGCAATCAAAAAAAAAAAACAGGTAAGAATGGAAATAAAAAGAGAGTGGCAAGGATATGCAATAACTCAAATATTTTAATAATGAAATTCAGGTCAGCACCGCTACAAAAGTTTATTGAATGCATTCAGTGACTATGACTAAAACTGGACTTGTAAACATATTAGGGCTGAAACGATTTGGGCCAAAATTGAAAGCCTGATTTTCTTCTCTGAAAACTCGTTTTTGGATTTCAGTTTCGATTTTTTATTCAGTGACAACTTCACCAAACTTCACTTTAATAAGTTTTTTTTGACATCTCTCAAAACGAAACCACTGAAATTGATGTACTGCATATGCCAAGCCAGTAAGTGGCGCTGTAACGCTGCCAAGGAAATGCACAAAAGACAGAAGAAGAGTACAGAGCGTTTTTGCCGGACACACGGAGGCGCCATAAAAGAGTCACAAAGTTGTTAAGAGAGATGCAGAGAGGCATCCACGCAGAGATGAAATGGACGTCGTTTACAGATTTATGCACTCTCCGACCCGTTTTCAGTCACCTGAAACACCGTTCCCGTGTAAATAGGACAAAAAAAAATGTATTTACTCCCAGATTTGTTTCCGTGTCGATGGGTTGATACCGCCTTCAGACAGACTTTGCAGCGGGGAGTGGTTTGCCCATCTAAAAACTCACCAGCATGAGACAGCATTTGTTTTATTGCTTTTTATTATTTTTTTAAAACAACTATTTATTGTTGTTTTATGTTTCATGTTATTATGTACAGCACTTTGTGTCAGCTTTGGTTGTATTTAAAGCGCTCCATAAATAAAGTTGAGTTGAGTTCATCCGAAACTGTGAAGTCGAACCAATTCCACATGACTGACTTGCTCTCGCCCTTTTTAGCCACGAAATTATCGCCTTCTTTTGCAAACGTCTTGTTTGTTTACACTGGTGTGAGCGCCCTGGCAGGAAGGGAGAACCTATGGTAGCCTGGAGGCGTGAGACATGATTGAGAGGAAAATCGATTTTGATGATTTAAATTTTTTTAAACATCACCATAATTAAATAATCTGAGTATGAATTAAAATAGATCAATTATGCAGCCCTAAAGCATAGAAACACGCCGAGGGGGCTGTTTGGTGTTGCAGTGCTCGTCTATTTGTTAAGTTACTCTTAATGAAGCGTCTCATGATTCACAGATTCCAACAGATGCTGAGTGACGCACATTACTGTGTAACCTTCTGCATTATTTCACACTCTGAAGCATTATCTCTGGAGACAGCTGTTCAGATCACACGACTCCCTGTCTGTGCGTGAGTGATGAACTCATCTATCATGATTGATCAAGGTCCCAGGTTCACATTCACAATGAGCCCTCTGGTTTTGAGATGATGGGATGGAGGAGAAGCCAACCTCAAAGTATTATTTTATTTTTTTTGACATTTTCTCTTGAAAGCCCCTTCAGAAAATAAACTTTTTCTTTTTTTTTGTTACCGTCTGCACTGCTTCAAACTGTTGTTTCTCAGGACCGTGAAGCTCCTCTGGAAATTGGCGTGGATTTAATGGATGGCTGCCTCGCCAGTGCTTTATTAATGTAGCGTTTAATACGAATCCCCGTCCAGTTTTGGTCTTCTGTTCGTCTATCCCTCTAGAAGCCTCAGCTCTCATACTGAAATGAAGATTGCATAATTAACCAGCTTTTTGAAACACAAGAGAGCAGTTTAATGGAAATTTAAACAGACACAATGCTCAAATATGCCAGACATAGCATCTTACGTAACGCGGTATTTCATGTATCTCTATTCTGTTTGACTGCTCAGATTCATTCGTTTTGTTGCTTGAGTGCATCTTATTTGAGTTTTCTGCCTCTTTTGAGCCGAGGGGGATGTTTTACTTCTGATAGTTTTGGCCCAGTTAGTCTTAATGGGGTCAAGAGCATTTTTTATTTATATCCCAAAATGCCATGAAGTTTGTCGGATAAACTAAACTGTTAAGATGCAAACCCTTGCTTCTTCTATCCGGGGACAATTTAATAGGGCAATGATTGTACCGCTCCGGGGGTTAGAGGGAAAAAATTCTGGGAAAAAAGCGGAAAAATAACGCCATAGGTGTTTATGTGCAAATGTGTTTGAAAAGAGGTTAAAAGATAAAGTCGAACGCCATCTGTTCCTTTAAAAATACGCTCTTTATAACAGCCTGCGATGCAAAGCAGATTCATTAGATGAAGTTCATTGTGGTTGATTGTCACAGCTGCGCAGTGAAAGATGGGTCAATAACTAGTGTTGCGCGCTGCCATGTTTATTGCCATGTTGAAGATCCATCTTCATCTGGCGAGAACAGACTGTATCGTGCATTTGCATGATGAGACAATGGAGCCGCATTAAAGGTGTCATCCGCGTCTTCTCCTTAAATAATGGTGATGCGATCATGTGCGGTGATGTGGTGCGCGTTATGAAACAATAGCTCACTGGATGGACTGTAGGTGTCACAAAGTGTGAGGAGGTTCCAAGTAGAGGCGAGCGATGGCTGTCGTTTAAGCAGTTGGCTCTGATATTGGAGGCTGTTGTTGTTAATTAAGCATGTTTTTAAAGGTGGAACAGTGATAAAGTAATTAAGTTATACATGTGGATGAGATTTTCTGTCAGAAAACACCACCCACACAGGTACAGAAAAGATTAGCAGATAAATAAGGGATGTCTTCTTTGTCTACAAGGAGCCCCACAATTGACACAAGCCAAGTTTCTCACATAAAGACAATGTTATATGTTCAGGTGAAGTATTACAGAGACTCACAGTAAATACTTGATGACTTATTATGAGGATAAATGGATAAACAAAGCAATTTAAATAATTTCATCACATGCAACAGCCTACGGCAAGACATGAGAGTACCTGTCTGCAGACACAGAGCAGTGAGACCTTTTGTAAAAACATGAGCAGAGGGAAGTAGGCAAGACAGTCTATGTGCAGACATTCACTGAGAGGACCCAAGGTGACGTCTGACGTGGTCATCCCGTTTTGTATTTGGTCTTTGTTGAACACATGAATACACAAAAACTAGGGTGACCGTTTTCAGAATCCCCAAAAAGAAGACATGGCTTCTTTGGGGCAGAGTCACAGAGTTGCACAAAGTTAATTTTGAGAGTTTTTCACACGCTTCTAACTCAGTAAGTCCACATGACACAAACTCGAAAGTTCTACACAAAACCCCGGACATTTGAAGGATTTTATAAACTTCTCTAGGCAAAGCTGGACAGCCCCCCAAAAGAGGACATGTACAGGTATAAGAGGACATATGGTCACCCTACAAAAAATCATATTAACATTATATACATTAAATACAGCCCCAAGAAAAAATCATATTCACAGGAGACAAAAAATATATACTTTCCGGTGTAATCGCTTTTAACTTGAAAAGCTTTGAATCAACTTCAAATGTAAAAAAGAAATATTTGCTTTTATTTTGAAAGAGTTCAAACAACTTCCAGTCTGCTCAGTGGAGGTCTGCAGCCAGACCCTCTTCAAGTAGGACCATTGCTTGATTACTGGGAAACATGGCGATCTTCCCAGCGAAAGTTGTTCTTCATTTTGACTTTTTCACACATTTTTACTGTAAAAATCCTCAAACTTAGAGAGGTTGATATTTTAAATTGCAGTTTGGAGATAATCTGAGTATTCAAGTGATGTACCTCCTAATATTATCAACGTGTTATCAGCCATCTCAATCTCATCCAAAATTTCTTCTTTGTGCTGTCTTAACCAACTTTTATGGTTAATACACATAGCTTTATACTTAAAATGTTAAACTTTAGATTCAATCCAGCTGTTTTATCCACATCTTTCTATCTGCGCTTGTGCCTACAGAGGTTTCAACAGAGCACATGCTGAGAAATAGAGGCCCGCAGCATTCATAGCTCAGACATGTGTTCCTGTTATGCACACTCAGTGCCTCTGTATTGAGAAAAAAGCAAATAAAACATAATCCAAGATCCGTCTCGGTGTCTCCAGAGTGCTCTGAACCTGTGACACAAAGGTTAAAGAAAGGAAAAGCGACAAATGAAACACATTTCTCTTACTTTGTATTCATTTGAAAGATGCTCTCAACAAAGTAAATGGTGTCTTTTTCCGGTACTCCAGCCTGATTTAGATGGAGAGAACCCCAGGTGTATGCTTAAACCTGCAGGAAATGAGACATTATCGAGTAATAAGATGAGGTGCCTTGTATACAAAATTGTAAACTGACTGGTTGGAATCCACAGTCATGCATTCAATGCCAAAACACCCATTCACACAGCAGTATGAAGTGAAATGTTTGCATGACTTAGAGGGAAAAAAAAACCTGCATAGAGTCAGACTGCTCACATAAGCTGGTGTCACATATGTTTATGTTTTATTCTATGAAGAAAGAGAGAACAATCAGCTCAATGTCACAGCTGCAGATATGGAGTTAACGTATAGTGTAGCTATATTTGAGTGGATGTGGAAGCCTCTATAGATTGGCACAGCTAATGATCATTTATACAGAGTTGAGTCAAAGTGAGCAGCTTTCTACTGGAAATGTAATCGTTTGTAGTATTTTATTCAGTTATTTCTTCACGCAGATTTTAAATGAGCTTGCACAGTTGCCATAACTTCACAACTTTGACTACTTTTTCATTATAAGTACACAAAATCTGGTTAGGGATAATCCTCTGTTTAGTTTACACTCTGACTTTGTTTCTGCTTCTTGCTTACCACAGAGTAAGTCTCCTGTTCAGTTTGAGTTATGGCCTTTATAGAGTTTTATTTAAGCTTCATGAATGAACTCTATTCTTTCACATTTGTTGCCTGTGCAGGAGTGATGTAAACCGTAGTTCCTATAGTGTCCTCTAGAGGCTGCTGTTATTAAAACCTGTGGAACATGTTAGCAGCCTGGTACAAAAACACAGCTACCATTTTGCATCTCTGAGACCATGTCCATGTTCTGCATAGTCTTCATTAGAGTCAAATGTGCAGTTTTAGAGAGACTAGATATTGTTTGGTTGTGTTGGTCGTATTTTGACGTAGAAAGATTAAAATTGTGCTATTTGCAATCTGAAAACTCAAGATTTCAACCTTTTTCAAAAGCCTGCCCAGTCTTAAAGTCAGTCTGAAGTGTAACTGTTTGCATAAATGAAAAACCAAATGGTGTTAAATTCATAGTAGGTAGCTGAACTGCAAATTTAGACAACTTATAATGTCATATTTTATTTTAGTTTTCTTCTCTGAGCCACTAAAAATGAGTTTGACCACAGCCAGAAAAGTCCAATTTTAATCCAGGCAATAACAATATAATTCCAATCATTATTCAGATCCAGCCTTTCTTATATCAAACACAATGCAGATTAGAAATCATGTGGCTTTGGACTCAGTCTTTCAGAGTCAGATTACGACTGTAAACTCCTCACACCCGAGGATCGTTTCAGGAGATAATCTGTTCCAGTCAGCATCAAAGCCGGACCACCCCAGCATTCGCTGGAAGGAACAAATCGGATCCAAAATCAGCCAAATGATCCTTTGGTGCGGGGACAATGAAGCTGTAGACTGAAATGGGGAACAGGGGATTGAAGTCTTTTGGCGTGACTCACTGGCGAGCCCGTTTGGCCAATATTGGTTAAGATTCGAGGAAAGAGGAGTTACCACGGGGTCCTGGTGAAACTGAAGACCGTTCAGCCGGAGCAGGAGCAGAATCACAGCGCTGCAGGGTTTGACATGGTGTAAAAGAAGAAGCAGTTTCCCTTTCAGGACAAAATGCAGTTTGGGAGGTTGAAAACCAGTTAAGGAGCATCATTTAACTGGTGAATACTGATAGACATGCTGCAGTGCCATCATTTAAAAGAACTTGTATGTAGGTCCCAAAATAGAAAGACTTGGTCACTATTGATGTTTGTTTTGGATTCAACTAAGTCAAAAATCTGGTTATTGGTGTCCTTACTGCGGAAATGTTAACATGAAACACAAAATTTCTTTAAGGTAAACTTTATGTAGATAAACATTACTTCTTACATATCTGCCATATTTTACACCCTAGATGAATTTAAGTGTCATCATTCACATGTTAGTCTCAATAATGACAGAGAGGTTCATTTTGGTCCAAACTGTGCTCCCTCATCCTCTAGATTTATGAATCCTTTGTATATTTTATTATATTTAAAAACATTTTTGGCTTGTTGATGCACTTTAGTATCACCCCCGTGTCTGAACTATATTGAAATTGCATGACCTGATTGTAGTCCATTTGCAAATCAGTGTTATGAGTTCTTACCTCAATCCTTCTCTCTGCCTGACTGAGTATTTTTGGCAATAGCACACCTTTTAAAATCCTTTTATCATCAATATTCTTTATTTTTACTTTTGTATGATGTAGCTTTTTAATATCATGCTGCAACTAAGATGCGAGCACACAGTAAGTATCAGACTCCAGCTGTACTGGATAGAGACGAAAGAGGGTTAGAGCCACAAGAAGAGGAGGGAGATTTTACTTCGAGATTAAAGTTGAAATTTAAAAAAGTTTAAATTTCGACTTTTTTCATGTCAACTTTAATCTCAAAATTCCACTTTAATCTCAAAATCAGATTTTTTTTTTATGTCAAAATTTCGACAGTAATCAGGACATTTTATAATATCTGAATTTCGACTTTAATCTCGAATTTTCACTTTTTAATCTTGAAATTTGACTTTATTGACATGATTCCAATTGTTAATGTTGAAATTTTAACTCTAATCTCCTTCCTGTAATTATGTTTTTTCTCTTCATGTGGTCCTAATCCTCTTTCGTAGGATAGAGTCGTGTTTTCTGCTGCCCTGGATCGATTATAAAAGAGCACCACCATTACATTAGTGTAATACTGCAGCTACCTTCAACCTTTTGAATCAACAGATAAGACTCAGAGGTTAAAAACTGTTTAAAGAACTGTAGTATGAATAAACTTTTAAAAGATGACCCTAAAGGTCCAAAAAGCAGGACCCCATCCGACCCCAACAACAAAAACTCCTGAACATCCCGTCCATTAAGGGAGTAAATAGTGAAACAGTAAATGGACAGCACTTATACAGTATAGTGCTTTCTGAGTCCTGAGACCACTCAAAGTGCTTTTACACTACATGTGCCATTCACACACACACATTTACACATTGATGGCAGAGGCTGTGATGATAAGTGCCCATCAGTACTAATACCGCCCGTCTATCCACATGCTGCTTTTTTTGAGTTGGAGGTCTTGTCCAAGGATGAGGTTTTGAAACAAACCGCCAAACTTCAGGAGTGGAGGGAAGAGGAGAGTAATCACAGGAGAAAGATTTGCGATCAGTTCATCTACGAAAAAAAATTCAATTAGAAAGATCTCGCAGAGCTGCTGTCCTATAAGAATCTTATCTTTTTAATATCAGGGAAAGACATAACACCCCTAAGCCAGAGAGAAATGGAGTGAGTCTTCAGAGATTTCCCAAAAGAGAGGGAAAGTCTTCTACACCGCACAAAGAAGAATCAAACTGGAATCAACAGAAACCTCAATGATCCCCGAACAGCGGTAAATCTTGATCGTATTTCGAAGAGTTGTCAAGATCAGAAAATAGCTCTTCTATAATTGATGTGGAATAGACCAAAAGGGAAAAAAAAACAAAAGCTTTGGTTCAGGTAATAAGTGGGAGTAGTTCATCTGTTATTTTGGCCTGAAATATTCGACAGATTTCAGGTGGCTGGGGTTTTAAAAAATGTTTTTGCCTGATCCTGTTCTGAGCGCAGCTCTGATCTGAGAGATTGATCCACACCTCGGACTCCAAAACAATAGAAAAACTTTCAGTGAGTTTATCATTTATCTTTGATATGAGTTAGCTCAGATTGGACTTTTGGGACAAATGCACTTCTGATATCAGAGTAACAGAGAGAGGAAGATAGCACAGGAGGGAAGGCGTAAAAGACGCTGCAGGAGTCACCGTTTAATGTATTAAAGATGGCAGAGTTCATCGCTATGACAACATCTCGATGATACCCTTCACTGTACGAGTGTTTCCTGTTTATGTTCAGATCCACTAGAGAAACTGTTTACATCAGTTCAACAAAGTCCACTGTGGAAACCGAAGCCATCTGCTCGCTCAAATAGTACGCCCATTCATGGAAATTCAAGTTTTCAATGAAGTAAACTTGAAAGGCTCTTCGATCAGCAGCACGCAGAGTGAAGCTGAGCAGAAGTAAGAAGAAAATGCAAACTCCTCACTGGAGAAGCCAGCTGGATCAGACCCAAACCCTTCCTGCTGATATCACGGTTCAAAAAGAGAAGAGTGTGCGACTGTATCCTTGAATTACCTTCCCACCTTCCTCGTTATAATTGAGCTGTAATACCTGGATTCACCGTGAACTCTTGAGATTGAGTTGTAAACAAATGTGTCCCCGGATGACAACAGGTTTTACTCAAAGATTGGAGCCTTGTTTGTGAGGACAAATTCGATCCAGAGCTTCATGGTGGCCTCGCTTCTTGTGCTGCTACTTCATCAACTGCTTTGCAACCCTCGTTTTGTGGCGTATCAGAGCCATACGGCCAAATATGACTAATGCATGCATAAGTGGTCCTTTGATAACAGTGCACTACACACAGAAAAACACAGTGACACATGGGGAATGATCCCAAATGACTCCAATTTAAGTGGAGTGAACACACATACTCATGATCAAAGTCTGCATTGTTTCCAATTTTTCCCTGTCGTGACAGATAAAAGCTGGACACACATTCACTTGTCTGCTTTCTAAATTTTATCCTCATATTTATTTGTTGATTTGCAGTTGATCAAAACTGTGAAATGCATAACTAGATAAATCTTGGCCAACCAACAAAACCTGCAAGTTTGTCTTTTATTGTTGATGTTCCCTGCAGGGATTGTTTTACTGTAGCAGTCGATACCTGCTGAGATGCTGTAGGAGGTTCAAAGCATGAAGGCAACCGGACTCGCATCGTAAAAAACTCTGATCTTAGCAAGTGTTTTGTCTCATTTCTGGTTAAAAATGTCCTTACAGGCTTTAGTGGACCCACATTCCCCCCAACAAGTCCAGAACAATGTCTTATTATCATGAAGGTATTGTACACCAACATAAGACCTGAATTGCGCAAGGCTAATGCGATCACTTTGACAGCTATGCTCCCTTTTTTGATACGACAGTATCCATCTGTCGAGGTTTCATTTACTGCCTGGCATTTATGCAGTTCAACTTCCTGCCTGGTGGGTGAACACTGGAGCATGCACAAAACACTTGAACCATGGACGTTATTTTTTCAAAAGCCGTTTTGGTCCCCTGCAGTTTTAACCATCAGAAAACAATGTTACTATACGCGATAGCAAACCGATACGCGTCAGGCACTCGGACCAAACGGCCGCCCAATTCTGGGTGTAGTTCACATTTATCTTCCGGACTAAGTTGGACTTAAACTGAGTATCATTGGCCAGCTATCTCCCATGTGAACAGACCAACCTCTGTTCACACAGTCTTACTAAAAATGTGCTATGAAATATGTGTGTGTGTGTGTTGTTGACCTTGAGGTGTGTAACTACAGTAGCAAACCCATCCAACAGAAGAAAAAGAGCAATGTGGAACATCAGGTTCTTTCTTATCAAGTTAGACATCATAGTGTTCTGATTAAATGAAAACAACCTTTGAGTAAATAGAAACATTCATTAAATTGCATGTGTTCAGTGGAAAAGTACAAAATAAAACACAATTATAACACCCCCCACCTTTGAAATCAAAATTTCGTCCATGAGAAGAGTAAATCAGTCCCAAACCAGAATCATCTTGGTTTGTTTGCAAATGTGAAAAGTTCAATTTAGTGCGATTTCCATCAGAATAACATGTTTACAAAAACAATAAAAGTCAGTTTCAGCTGTACTAATGCAACAAATCAATTTTTTTAACAACATGCGAACATACTAACATATGGGATAAAATGAAATTAGCCTTTCACTGCTTGTATTTTGACAGATACGCTGCATAGTGGGGAAATATTGTGTATTTTGAACCACACACATTTTTCATCTCATTGATGAAAACCGAACATTTGTTTCCTGAAGTTTTGTACCATCAGTGTTGTAGTTTCCGCTCTTGTTTTCTTGTCTCTATTATCAGAATAAGGTCGTTGAAGAACATTCATCATTATTTTCATCTATGAAATACTCACTTTGGCGCACACACACAGAGTGAGTTTTGTTTTTCAGACTCCAGTACACACTTAATAAAAAAAATCACCTTCAGCCAAAATTCTGCTTTTTTCCTAAATGGTATTTCAAATCTCAAATGTTTGTCCCGGTCGATTATTGAGAAACATTCAGCGAGAGCACACACTTGAGATCACAAAACTGCTTTTGAACGTCTGTTTCAGGCTGTTTTAAAAAGACTTAAGAGTGAGGATTGAAGTGGTTATGAATCGAGGAAGCTGAGGATCCCTTTCAATCTGCTGTGATATTGTTCCCAGGCAGCTGTCCTTGAACCTTTTGTACTTCCATTGCTATTTTGATTTGTGGCTGAATGAGAGGAATGTGTGCCTTAAAAGCCGGGGGGAGAAAAAAATGTCTTTATATCGCGGTGGTGAATCCGACGCATCTTCGCTTTTATCTGAGATCGAAATTTGTTGCATTCTTTTTCATTTCTGTCCTTAAAATTGGAAATCTTGATCGAGGTTTGTTTGAAAGGAACCGTGAGACTGAATGATGTGCCGTATGAAGTCACAAAACGAATCAAATAAAAAAGTGCAACAACTCGCATCAATCAAAGTTAGCATTTGAAAGTTGGATTGGCGAAAAGAAAAAAAAGGAAAAAGATTATTTTTTTCATTTTTTTCTCGTCTCTATTCATCATCGCTGTATGGGGGCAACATCCCACAACGAGGAAAATCATTACCTCGCATTTTGAGTTTCCAGCTCCATCTCTATGTGTCACGCTCATTCAGTAAATGTTTCATGCCACCTCTTCACACTCTCCCAGACCCGATCCTTGAATATGAACTGTAAATAAAAGAACAAAAGGCCATAAAGTCATATCGCCTAGTGCTCCTGGCGTGTTTTAAAAGCCCCCCGTTGTGCACTCAATCATGCTTAGATCAAACACCGCCGCAGCTTTGTCATGGTGGACGCCATGGAAGGAGAGGACAAATGATGGGTGTGTGCCTGTGCAAGAAAGAGAAAGGAATATGATTGATTGCATGCGTATTACAGAGTATGTGTGCAATGCCACCCTCTGTGGTTTTGATGTGCTCTGAGTTGGAAGTGAATCCTATGTGCCTCCTGCAGTTCACAGGCATATTTGCCTTTTGTTGCACCAATGAGGGAGTGACGGGATGATGAGAGAGACAGGCTGAGAGGCAGTGGGAGCATCTGAATGACACAGACAAAGGCGCATACAGACAGCCAGCGTGCACGCTCATGTGAAAACTCATGCTGTTGATCAAGAGCTGAGATTTTCGACTGATGGCAGGATTTAAAAAAATGGAGATGTCACCTTTTCTGTCGGGTTTACCTGGTGTGCAATTAGAGTGATCTGTGTGACTGTCTGCAAAAGTCGTCACCTTGCAGGTCTCTAAGTGCACGCTTATCACGCACACACTGTGCAGCAATACTGAGCAGGTTTTGTGTATGTGATCCATCCGTCTATGCCTTATGGTTCCTCAGAATCCTGCGACATTTCTGATGTTATATTGAGATCAATGTAGCCACAATAACAGCCACTCATGCTGCAATAACATATCACAGTTCCAGCAGTGATTGCTGAGAATAACCAGGTGATGAAAGATGAAAAATAAAAAGATATTTCCTTCTTCCTTTAGCACAACAACTCTGAGAAAGGGCAGGATCTGTCCCACTCCTCAAGCATTTCATGTCCTCTTAGGCTGCCTTCACTTTGGCATCAAGATATCAGAGGTGCAGCAGCATTCGCCATTCTTCTTAATGGGGTTGAGGTTTGTTTTTGGCTTCCCAGACCGCTGTGTATTGCTATCGTGTGGTCGTTACCAAAGCTTGTATAACTAGAGAAGCAAGAAGTCAGGATATACGCCGAAATATCCCTTTAACTTAACTTTTAACTTTGGGTCTCTCATTAATTAAATCCAGTCAGATTACATCATTAAAGCTGGGTACAGCTTGGGTTATTTAGCAATGTTGGCCAAAATAACTACGCAACCAATCACTCAAATTACGTGTGACATGGCTAGTTTGGGAGTAGCCAGCCCAAACCTGTCTCCTAATTTTAAACTGTATTTATTATGGACATACTCTCTGTAGCATCATCCACTAGTTTCTGAAGCCTGAAGGAAATGCTGACTCCCTGCTAATCTACACGGAGAGGTGAAGTTGAAGCTGCCAGCTGTCTGGGTGACTCCAGAGGCAAAGGGCAGTTCCTCGATCCTCGCCAAATGAACACCTACTCATTAATTCACCTATAAGCCTTTTTTAAAAATCTTTATTAACAATACATTGTGCTATAAATAAAGCAAGACAACTCTGTTATTTATATTTTATTTTAAAGGGACCGTGTGCAATAATAAACATAAATGTTAGCATTTTATACACTGAACCAGAGTTAGCTTAAAGCTTATTTACATCTGCCTTAGCACATTCGATTACTTTCACTGATATTTCTCAGGTGTAAACAAATACACCACTAACATCCTCCTCAAACCATCGACTCTGTGGGGCTCATGATCGATTTTCAGGTAGCCAATCAGTGCAGCGCCTTGTTTTACAGCATCCCGGCCCACTCAGATCGGTGCATGGATGATGGGGTTAGAAACTGAGAGGCTGCAGATCCCCCACAGAGGCTGAACGCCTGATGATTGATTGATGATGAAAAACAACTTGGTCTATGTTGTAAGAAGCTAAAAATACACTCATGTGAGATCTTTATGGTTGTATTAGGAATGTAACTGAGGAATTAGGCATGAAATTAGACAGAAATATAAAAGAAATACCTGCAAACATGGCAACCATTTGTGCCCGTTCATAAAAAGGTACTTACAAACTATGCCAGAACTATTATTTTTCTTTATCTGAAACTGTTTTAGTTTTTAAATAATGTGGTAAAAAGTGTAACAGAGGCGTGAAGATGTTTCTTTTCTCTCTTTGCTGCTCACTCCCTGTCCTCTCCCCTCTCTCCCTCCCTTCTCCTCTCCTCTCTCTCCTGCAGAGGGAGCCGTGGTTCTGCTCATTTCCCTCTCACTTCTCCCCTCAGTCGCACACATACACACATACACACACACACACATTCACACACAGATTGTACAGTGGCTCTGTGAAATAGGATGCACTGCTAGGGCTGAAATGATGCAAAGCACCCTTGTTACATAAATGTGTGTTTTTGAAAAGGAAAAAAAGGAAATTGCACAATTTTGCAAAGTCACACAATATGTTACAAGTTTTGGGGTAGAAAGAAGACACTGAACACCAAAAAACAAATATTTAATTTCCATGTGAAATGGAAAATCCTGATATATTTACAGAGTCTATATAAACAGAATAAAAACACACAAAGGTGCAGCTGTTAGTGGGTATTACAGCTTGTGGATATTTGTACATTTGTTAACAAGCATAAGTAAATTAACTCTGTGCAGTTTATAATGAGTTGTTGATATAACAGAGTGAAATGCTCTTATAAAGGTCAGCGGTATAAGAATAGATGCAGGATGGAGTATTAAGCTATAAGTCTTATTGACTCTGAAGACGGAGAAGAATTAATTTACAGGCAGCTTTTCAAACTGAACCAATAACTTATCAGTCAAATACTATTTTAACTGTAATGATATAGGGTAGTAACTGACTGTGCAAATGATGATGTAAAGTGAATGGATGATTATGCGAATTTTGAACATGGTGAGCAAAATGTAACATGAAGTGAAGGGATCATGCTAACCCTGACAGGGTTGTAAAGAGAATAATCAATCATTTCACATCCATTATCCTGCTGGTTACATGGCTGCTAACCAACTCACGGTATAATTCTGCCTTAGAGTTACCTCGGAGCTGGGAATGACGTCACACCCGAGTTCCCAGCTTTTCAGTTACCAAGTCGGAAAAAAGCAAAATCAGAGGTGGAAACATGATGGCTACATCTACCAAAGTTATTTTAGCGCTTGTTATTTTAGTTTAGCATCCCCTTTCACAGATGTAGTCATCTTATTTCCACCTCCGATTTTGCTTTTTTCCGACTTGTCGATAATCGGCCAAAACTCGTCATCTACTTATCTAGTAGATGGCGCAGCGACCTTATGACAAATTTCATCTACTAACTACCTCACAGCACAGCAGAGTGACGGATCTGAAGCAGGCAGCTCAGTTGAAAACCTTTTTCCGAACAGAGTTTGATTCATAATAAATATGTGGAATATTACTGAGAAGTGTTTGAAAGGCTTAAAAGCAGCCATTTGTTTAAAAAAAGTAAATATGTAGATATATTACTTACATTAACAAAATTGTAAAACTTCACAAAAATTTTTTAAAAAACCATCCGATTATCAGTAATCGGATTTTTTTTCCCCCCTAATAACCGGTATCGGCATCGGCCCAAAAAAAGATTATTTGTGCCCATGTAAACACAGCTAATGTACGACTAAAGTAACATACTGTACCTCTCTGCTGTGGACATATATAAGTTAAATAAATGTGTCTAACATAAAGCTGTAAAATGTCCTCATTTATCGATAGGGGGATTATTTTCTCCACAAACAGAATGTGACGTCTTTTCATTCATTGCACCGTGTGGGCTCCACCACTTACTATAAAATGCCGCACAGCGAACGTGATAGCCTGTCATTGTCTTTAACATTTTAAGTGATCCCTTGCTAGGCAGCTCATATTGTAGCGAGCTTTGTTAAAGACTGCAGAGCAGCTGCGGTGTTGCTTTCCAGAGAAGAAATGTTAGGGAAATAGTAATTATGCTGCCTCTTAAGAAAGCCAACCAGGGGGTAAATTGAACTGTAAGCAGTCCGTGAGACAGGAGCTTTGTGCTATTTTGCTGCATTCCTTTATATGGAAATCAATAGTGGCTGTAGCCCCCACATTGTAGACATGAAGGATAGATGAGGATACATGCAGGTGGGAAGATTTATTACTGCTTCATATAATGGATGAGCCATGCACAGAAAGGAGAGAATCCAGCATTGTGATAACTACTCAGATATTCCTCTCTGTGCACGTCACACAATAGATATCTCATCGTCTATTCACTGGCTAACGCTGATATTTTAATGGTGACTAAAAAAGCCTGATGGAATGGCTTTTACAGCACCACCAATATGATCTGATATGACTGACAGCTCGAACCTCACCGCAGTATAAGATGGGATCATTTGGGACACGAGCACGACATCCTCATGCACCGAGGAGCGAACGAGGACTGTACAGGACCAAGAGACGATGATCAGTCTTGAGGGCTTTTTTATATTCTGGTTGTACATCCTGCAATCATCAGCTCTCGTATAGATGTATACTTAGTACTCAAAGCACAGAGAACATAAGTCCTCAGAGGCTGAGGGCCATGACTCATTAAAGGAGTGAAGAGCATCTTAAAGTACTTGTGAGGGACATTAAAGACGGGCATGCAATTGTGCCTTAAGAGGTGCTTTTGTATTTTCTATACTTAGAAAAGGGTTATATACGCTGTAGTCACATATGCAGAGACAGAGCCGGCCCAAGCCTCAATGGGGCCCTAAGCAAAATTTGGTTTTGGGACCCTCCATTTCTGCCAATAATATTAATTTTTGATCATTCCCACACCTCCACAAATCTCTTTGATTATTACTCCATGATATGCAAACATATCTTTATCTTGGCGTTTTTTCTCTTCTTCTTCTTCTTCTTCTTCTTCTTCTTCTTCTTCTTCTTCTTTCTTCCTCTTTCTTTTCTCTGCTCCTTTTTTGCGACATTGTTTTGCCTCACAAATACCTGTTCTTTGGATGCTCAGTGCACTTTGCACAGCAGGAGGCACATAACGGTAGAGGAGCTTTGACATATCAGCAGTAAGAATCGTAGGCCTACATCAGCAGAAGCACTAAAATGTTTTTAATTTATTTTATTTCATTTTTACAATGATATACATTTGATCATACAGAAAGCATCACTCATATATGCAAGAAATAAAAAATATTATTAGTTTTTTTTTTTTTTTTTGCTCTTGGGGGCCCCCTATTGGCTGCAGGGCCCTAAGCAGATGTTTAGTTCACTTATGCCTTGGGACGGCTCTGTGCAGAGAATTGAATGTCCAGATTTTACGTGTAAAAGTGAATTTGTCTTGAACAGAACTTTCTGGATAGTATTAGAAATTGTCAGCCTTCAAAATCCTGGTAGATGTGATTTTTTCAGGCCAGTGTTTCACTAAAAATAAGAAAAATAAATCACTTTTATCCACACAATGAAGAAAAAGAATAAATATGAGTTGATTAGAGTTTGTGTTTAAAAGTTTATCAGGTTTGTATTCCATCTGTAGTGTTTACTTTGTGTTGCTGTGCAAATAAAAATGAATTCACCCTTCAAACATTCTAGTTAGCTAGTTAGCTTCTTGACTCAAAGTATAACGTTACTTCACGAGACTGGAGGGCAGACTTGATAAACTGTATTCTGTCTATTTTTAATATAATATGAACATCATGTCATTTTTATCTCATATTTCAATGATTTAAATATTGTATCTGCTTTCACTTTAACTGCCCTGGGACAACAGGTGGAAATGAGCAATTGTTTCCATAACCTGGCTCAAAGCATCTCTTCTTGTCTTAAAGATTAACGTTTTTTTTTTCTTCTTTTTTTGTGCAATGTTCCTGTTCTAAATGAATAAATTCAGTTTCATTCAATTCAATTCAATCTTTATTGATTTTTAGCTTTGAAAACTGCAGAACTGGGTTTTTAATGGAACTGGAACTCAATCTTTATCCTCAGTCCATGTCATTAGGATTAAAGAGGCGTGTGATGTGCTGTAAATAGACACAATTACTCTTCATTTAACAGGCTGTTTGCCATACCTGTAGAGGAGTAGTTTCATGGGTAAGCTCTCAGACAGGGATCTCATTTACAATAAAAATTTGATTTACGTTTCAAATATATTGTATAAAAAAAAGAGGAGATCCTATAACATGTTATCATCTGATTAGCCACACAATGTTTGAGCCTAATGAAGTATGACTCCCTCTATGTTCTTACTTTCATATCAGGGGTTGTTTTCAGGTGTTATAATGGTGTCAGGGGTTAATCTCACTCCAGCTGACCAATGCCCTCATGTATATGTTATGATAGTGATACATACGGCTAATAGTGAGCCAGTACAGTCCTAGAGTTAAGATTAACAACGCCCAGCTCACCATAAATATTCACACTGATAAGACAATGTCAATTTGTTGTTTCAAGCTAATAAAAATATATATTTTCTTTTTTTTTTTTAGTTTTCTCAAGTGGAAACCAGCAGGAAGGAAATCTCCAGCCAAGGCTTCACGTCACACTCAAACACACCTTCTCGCTAATGCATCTCCATCTGTCCGTGTAAAAGCAAGGTGAGCAGCAACTGGAGCTCAAAGTGCTTTGTTGCGCCGAGGGACTCTGCCTACCCACCCTGCAGGACATCATATTTCCCCGTAAGGGCCCCACCTGAGTGACTCTTTCATTCTGTTTCCACGGCTTTTTTCACCGTGTCCTTTTGTTTCACCCTTGGGGAGGTTAAAAACAAAGTGCTCTGTAACCTGCTGAGTCCCTGTGGCACGACCCCACAAATGGCAGCTTGCACCACCGCATCCCCATCCCTCACTGGAGTCATGTGGTGCGGTTCCACGGTGGTGGTTTTATGTGCAGTCACTGATGGTCATTAGTGCCAGTGTAATGATCACAAAGTGAACATCTGAGTGCGGTGACCGAGTGTATAGTTTCAAGTGTTATTAGTGAAGTGTGTTTCTACAACCTTTAACCGATGGCCCAATTTCCTGCCGTTGAAGGTTAATGTCAAGTCTTGTTTATGAGAATTAAACCTGCAGTTCTTATCATGACCAGCAGGGGGGAAAGCCGCCTTTTGCAAAAAAATAGAAATAAAAAATGCAAAAGAAAGAGGAAGTTGTTCTGAGCCTTTCAAAATAAAAGCAAATATACTGGGAGTACATTTCCTTTTTTACCTAAAAAGTTGATTCGAACCCTTAATAATGAAAAGCGGTTACATCTAGAAGTACATATTTTTTGTCTTGTGTAAATATAGTTGTGTTTTTTTTCTTGGGGCTTTTTTTAATGTCTATAATGTTAATATAATTTTTGTGTATTCATGTGTTCAACAAAGACAAAATACAAAATGGGATGAATACTTCAAACAAGCTGGTGCGCGTGAGAAAAAACCTCATCTCGGGTCCTTTCAGTTGAGGTCTGTGGCCAGATCCCTCTCGAAATATCCTTAATACTGGGTCCATTTTGCATAAATTTTCAAATAAAAACCAGTTTGATTTGTGTCCTCGACAAGTGAATCCTCCAATTATCAGCCTGGGCTGTTTACACTCATCCTGTTGGCAATATATTCAGTTGCACAGCTGAATTAATACAACTTATGTCCTGTAGTGATTGAGCGAAACGTTTGTTTAGATAGGAAAACAAAGTAAAAACTTCACTAGCATAATAGCACAGCTTTTATGTGGCTGAGACATTTCTCAACGGATTTTAAACCCTGATTGTAAAAAAAATCAGTGGTGTCTGTGTAAAAAAATAGTTTGAGGAAAGTTTGAGGGTAACATCTCAAATGTCTATGGCAGGACTACTCGCACAAATGCCAGTAAATCGTGTATGATGTCTGAGTAAAGGTGCAAAGATTGAGTCAGCACTGGCCTCCCATGGTGATGTACGTTAATAGCCGAACAGTGGAGTGTCATTCATCTTGTAAATGGTGGACAAACTGATTGTGACCCTGAGCCATGCGACACCACTTGATTTTTCTATGGAAACAGGGATAAAAAGGAGACTGCATGGTAGCAAGTGAGTGAGGAGGTCGAGTAATATTGGCGGCTGTAGCAACCTTCAGACCAAAATAGACGTGTGGGTGCAGATGCAGATATTTCTCAAACTTCAAATTTCATTTCTGGCTTCCAAAAAAACCCCGGAAAGCTTAAACTAAATGCCAAACTCAAACCTTCAAAACAGTAGTCCTTAAAAAAACGTGTGACTTCACTCCTCAACTGCAAGTGCTTTCAATCCCTATATGGTCTGCGGTTGCCATGGCAACAGAAAAGCTTACAAGGTCTGAAAGCTGTGTTTGAAAGTGAAAGGTCAGCAGTCTTTTCCAAGAGGTCAGCGGGCTTCGGTTGTATAAAGAAGCTTCCAGTGTGTGACTGGTTTGATTTCATTCAGGGTTTATACAGTATATGTTTATCCCTTTTACAAATGATTTTGAAGAGGGAGATCCTGGACAGATTTGGTTGACCTTTAAAGACACACATACACACACCAACACACACACACTGCTTTTGGCGAGAAACACTGAACACATAATATTTTGTCCTACAATCCCTATTTGGAGGTTCTACGTTAGAGGGTCTGGGTTTTCAGCATAGGGAGTGGTCTGGTCATCGTAAGAAGAACTCAACCCTGCAGTTTCGACCAATCACATGTCAGAAGTCAGGAAAGTCAGTATGGAGAGCAAAAGCAGGCAGCATCTTTGCCATATTTGCAGTAATCTGGTGATGATTTATCTATCTCTATAAGCAGATATCTCCACATACGTGCAGTTAACAAAAGAATCTACACTGTAAATTGATGCTGTGTCACTGCAGCCAATCAGGTGTTAGATTTTCCAGCTACCCGTGAAGCATCAGAAATGATTGACGAGACCTTCATTTGACAAAATTAAAAATTTCTTCTCCTTTTCAGTAAAGTAGACCAAAGTGAAGCAGCTGTTAAACTGAGACTTATCAGTGTATAAAACAGACGCTCTCCCAGGGACGCTGTCAATCAAGAAATGGCGGTGATTACACTGCAGACTTGAACACGGCGTGGAAAAGTAAGTCTTAGTTGTAAGCTGAAAGTTAGCGTCTGTCTCCAAAGATCTATTCAGAGAATGACAGTGATCACTTCGTGTTTCCCAGATTCATTGGTTTGTTGTTTTTCATTGAGTTAATTCTAGATGAGCAACAGGCTGCGACTCAAGTTCCAAGTAAGATATTGGGGTGGATTTGTTGTTTTCAATTCATAACGAAAAGAGAAACCATGAAACCATTTATTCCATGAAGCATGCGCCACTTTTTAAAGTGGTTTTAACCATGAATGAAATTCTGGATCGAGGCGTAATCATCCCCCCTCTAAAAAGAGAACTGCTTTCAAAACAGGAAACACTCCAGAGCTGGAAACCACATGTGCCCACACACACGTATACACACGCTCTGTATCCTTTATACCCCGAGTGATCTTTTAACAGCTGTAGTCTCTCTCAGCCGTGCCATCTTTTTACCCATCCTTGCTTCTTCCTCGAGCGTATGAAGGTCAGATGAAGGTAATGCTGGGGATTATGGGAGCTCAGTGACTGGTCCCTCTGCCTGCCATGAAAGGGTGGAGTTAATGGCTTGAAGAGTAGTGGGAGGTCTCCAATTTTCTGCTGCAGGCCGTGAAAACGGATGCCTTTTATTGCAGATTGACCCTCACAAGCTGTAGCTGGAGGCCCCTCACCTGATGTTCGGGATGGGAACCTAGGGAGGATCTTTGCCTGGATTTACAGTTAATGTACCGGTGTTAATGAAGCCGCTATGGTCCAGCGGCCCTCCTTGCTGTGCCATGTCAGAGTGTCCATCCCCCTGTTGATCACTGCGGGTCTGCAGTGGGTCAGATGTGCCAATAAAATCGAGGCCTCTCCACCCCCAGATGACTTTGGGTGTGACGGGTAATGGTGTGTGGAAGGGTGAAGGGGAGGGGCAGCTCCTGTTAGCCAGAGAGCAGCTTCTTAGTTAGCTCAAAACAAAAGTTAACAGCTGCAAGTCATGTTTTAACTGCCAGTTTTACAATGCAAAGACAGCAGTAGCTCTACTCTTAGAGTGGTAGTAAGTAGGTATTAGTAGCTCTCCAATTCATGGTGGGGTAGTCAGGATCTGAGGAAGTGCCAGTTTTTGGGAGAAATCTTGAATGTAAACTCTACCCCTCCCAACCAGTTTTCCCTTCAGCTCCTCCTCTCTGCTCCAGCTAGCCCCGCCCACAAACAGATGCTCCTGCTCCCAAATGCTTCATTGACCTTGACCAGGCTTTTTAGCTCTTGTCCAGTCTACCTCCTTTTTCAGCGCCCGTTATTCCACCAGAGTCTCTGGTATTTACTTCTTTTTCTTGCTTGTGTTGGTCGTCGTGGCCAAAGGAGGATTCAGAAAATTTTCTGCACTTTCTGGTTGCTTTCTACTGTCTGATAATGCAGCACGCTAACTTTTTTGGGGTTCGTGAACGTTAATCAAGGACGGAGTGTGCCTCACAACATGGGGAAGCAGCGTCTGCCTCACAACCAATCAGGTTGGGGAAGGCAGAGAATGGCTTTGTTTATAGCATAGACTGTATATAGAATGGACAGCATCTGCCTCCTCTCTGGGCGCACTCCGAGAACAGCACCCTCTGGTGACGGGCTGCAGTATAAGTCATACATCCTGTCTCCACCAGCAAAGCTTATGGGGCTGTGGACAAACTTTAGAGATTAATTACACAGAATATAAATTTTTCTCCCCCCTGGTTGTGATGTTGACATGTAGTTATTGTAAGACTGGTTTGTGCTCAAGTCCTCTTTTTTCTGTACAGCTCCATTTTTAAAAGTTATTAGGGGGTTCATGTTTTCTATGATTGATACCTAATACAGCCTATGAGTGTATGAAGATTGGGTAGGTCACCCAGGGTGATTAGCTGTTTGAGCCGAGCGTCAACACAGCGACTCTCTGTGACTCTACCGCCGAATGCGTACAACGCTACTGTGCAATAGTGGTTTTAAGAAATGGAGAAAAAACGTGGAATTACCGAGAGCTTTTCGGCTTCAAATCTGTATACTGTTGAATTGGAGAACCAAATTGTCCATAGTATATACAGTCTATGGTTTATAGTCAGAAAGAGCGGGCAGCTCAAAAAATTTCAAATGTTGACTATGCATACGTAACAAAACACAGCGATATCGTTATATTCCCAAATGTCATCAATAACTAATAGCCATTGACTGATATTAAAAGCTTTTTTGTATGTACACCACACAAAAAAAAGATGCTTCTTTAACAGAATCCTGTCGACCACACCTTTAAAGCAGTCAGAGTAGCAGCTGCTATTATTTGAAGTTGTCAGAGCAGTAACAGAGGAAGCAGTCGTTGAAGTCCTAACAGTAACAGTCGTAGTATCACTGGCTCCCACTGTGTCACCCTCACCTTCCCTGTAGCTCTTTGACTACTGCTGAGCTCAATGTCATCCAAAGAATGGGGATTGACAGAGGTGTGAAGGGGCCTGGCACGGCTCTTTAATGGAGATGAATGTATGTGTGCTGAGGGGGGCTGTTAAAGAAACTCAGTCACGGACAAGAGAGGGGGATAGCATGCAGCGAGAGTTATCACGAGCACCCAGCGACATTATTAGCTTTCATGTTCAATGACCTGGATTTAATGAATGCAACTCATGTAATGCTCAAGGTTCGGATGATGAAAGTTTTTACCAACTAAATCACAAAAATACATCCCGTAATCTGCATCACACCTGCCTGCAAAATATGCTTAAACACTTTAAGTATACCGTCAGATTCATGGTATCCCACAATACTTTTTAAAGCTGCCGTAATCACAGTAAACATATGTAGATGAGGAGAGGATCAGGGCGGATTAAGTCACTTCAATCATTGCATATGTGCCCTCTATAGCACACATAAATAAGCCTCTTATACTGCCAATAAGTACTACCCAATAACACTGAAGACTATCTCGACCAGGTGGCAGCTCTGTATCTGTATCTCTGAGGTTAGTTTGAGGGAGTAATTTGCATTAAAGACACCCATTGTTCTCAGTCTGCAAATGTTTACTCAGACTCATCCATACAGGAATATAATCAGAGGTTTAAAGACGTGTGCTAACATTTCAATATAAATGCACATTTGCGATTAACTGCAACACGGTTACTGCAGTTGGTAAATAAATTAATACATAAATAAAACTTTAAGGTCCACG